GAAAAATACAATAATAGAGCTTCTAAAGATTTCTTCAGATCCACAAATCACAAAGGGGTTGATGCCCTCAAACTACTGTTTCTGAAGAAAAACAGGATTCAGTTCCTGGAGGCAGCAGGGTATGAAAGGGTTAAGAACACCTACAAATGCAATAACTGTTCAAACAAAGGCCACAACATCAAGAAATGCACATTGTAATAACACAGTCCGTATCATAGTCAGTCGAATGGAAAGGCTGAGAGCGCCGTTAAGCAAGCGAAGAAAATTCTGTTAAAGTGCGGCAAGACTGGTTCAGACGCGTTTCTCGCTTTACTAGACCACAGAAACACACCGCCTGCGAGTATGCAAATCAGCCCAGCACAGCGGCTATTTAGCAGAAGGACAAGAAGTCTCCTCCCGATGACTGCTGCATTATTAAAGCCATCCGTTTCAGACGAGAACGTGACACATACCAAGCTTCATCGCCGCCAGCAGCAACAAGCCAAGTACTACAACAGAGGCGCACGAGACCTCCAGCCCTTAGAGCCCGGAGATACTGTGCGAGTTGAGCCCTGGCACGCGGGAAGAAAAAAGTTGCCAAAGGGTGTCGTAAAGAGTCGCATTGACAAAAGATCTTACGCGGTTGAGTTGCCTCAAGGACTCCTTCGATGAAATCGTGTTGCGCTACGCAAGTCTAATGAAGCGCCTATCAAAGTTGAAGATGACGACGTCATAGAGGCGCGCAAGCAGTCATCCACAGAGACACGCGAAGATACACGCGAACAGGCACCTCCAGATACACGCGTGGAAACATTCGACCAGCCGCGCGATCCGTTGTCTTCAGTGCCAGATGCACCTAAGTCGCCCAGTCCTTTACAGGCACCGAGAAGGTCCACGCGCGTCCGTCAGCCGCCCAAGCGTCTCCAGGACTATGTGCTTACTTAAGCCTAGGAACTCTTTCCAAGGAACTGAATTTCATTAATATGTGCTTAGTTGTTTGTTTGTCTTTGTTTTTTTCCCCGTTAAGTTGTTTTCTTATTTCTCTATAAAAGGGAGGGTGTTATAATATTGTAATTTTCACGCCCTGTGTTGAATTTCATTTGCACGTGCTGCTAGACTCATTATATATTCAGTTTCGTTTGTACCTTCGAGGCACTTGATAGAGATTAAGAATAAGAATAAGATACTTTATTAACCACCATTGCAGCCATAGGCTAAATTACGGGATATTTACAAATACTGATGATAACAAAAGAGAGAATAAGAAAAATTATCTACATCTTATAGACATGGCTAAAAATAAAACTGTTCTTCAAACGCTCGGTTTTACATAGGGGGAGAGTGAAATCACTTTTGCGTCTCAGTGCATATTTGCAACTCTTCCTTTGGGGGAGGAGGCTATGGAGATTGTGGGTGGGGTTACAGACGATCTCGTCAAACAGATCGATTGAAATCTTTTCTCTCCTCTCATGAAGTTTCGGTAGGCCAACTGTTTCTAGTGCTACACTATATGAAAGGTCAGGATAGATGATTCTGAATGCCCTTCTTTGGATCCGTTCCAAATCTTCACTGATGTAGTTTGGTAGAGAACGATGGAATACAGGACTTGCGTATTCCAGGACGGGCCTAATACATGTCACATAGAATTGCACCAGTTCACTTGGTGCCACTCCAGATCTCTTGAGTTGACGTAAAAAGAAGAGACTAATTAGTTCAGAGGTGTGCATGTTCCACTTTAAATCATGGCTAATGGTCACGCCTAGCAATTTGGTACTGGTGACTAATTCAAGGGGTTTGCCATTTAGAACTAGGGGTTCGAAATCGTGGTTGCTGTTGGAAAAACCAATTCGAAGTTCTTTGCACTTGGCCTCATTCAGTTGGAACCCATCGAGACTCGCTTGTCTCGAAAGGTCATCCACAGCTTCTTGGAGTTTGCTCTTATTACCCTTTGTAACTATTTCGGAACAAGATGTATCATCCACGTATTTCCACATGTCAACTGGTGTGTCCAAGTCATTAATCATGACAAGAAATAACCAGGGGCCCAGTTTTGTTCCCTGGGGGACACCGGATAGCACAGAGCGACAATCCTGAGCAAGTTTAACTCTTTGTTTCCGGTCCATCAAGAAGTCAACAATCCAACCTTTGACTTGACTCGGAATATCATATGTTGTTAGTTTTTGAACAAGAACACTGTGATCGATAAGGTCAAAGGCCTTACGGAAATCGAGTAGGACTACTCTTGCCGTGGCACCATTTCCGTCGGTGTTAACAAGCCAATTATGCGTCATATTGACCAAGGCATGTGTAGTAGACGATTTGGGAATAGTTCCAAATTGTCGAGGGTCGATTCTTTGTAACACAGCAGGTTTAACGTATTTCTCAACAATGTGATCTTCAGCGAGCTTAGACAGGATAGGCGTGAGGGAAATCGGACGGAGGTGCTTGTTAATGTCATTAATAGGCCTTTGTTTTGGCACCGGGACAACGTCAGCCTCTTTCCAAGAAGGCGGAAGGCGGGATTCGTGGAACGAGGAGTTGAGGATCGCAGAGACTGGACCCGCCAAGAGATCAGCGTTTTCCTTTAATAACCATGCCGGGATACCGTCTGGCCCATGTGCTTTCGAGGGGTTGAGCGCAGATAGTTTCATAAAAGTTGAAAACTCCGATATCATATTTACGGCATGACCTTCGTTGTTGGCTTGTGGTGGGTCAAAAGGATTGTGGGTAAGAGGCTCAAAAATCTGCATTGGGGTCAGGAACGCTGAATTGATGTAATTTGCCAGAACACCTGGTGAAAAACCTAGGTGTTGCAGTAATTTGCTGGTGTTGGCCCGCGTTTCTGAGGCAGGTGACATGCCGCTGAGCTTTTTCACCTCTTTCCACCACACGGATGGCTTACACTCCCTCAAATGGCTAACCTTTGCTTCGTAGTACTTTGCCCGGCAGATCTTACGCTCACGATTCACGCAATTTCTGAGCATTCGAAAGGTATCCATATTTCCTTTTGCAAGGGCACATTGGCGTCGTTTGATCAGGTTCTTGAGTTTGCCATTCAACCACGGAGGCTCGCTTCGATGAATAGATTTGGATCGCGGGGGAGAAATAAAGTCTAGGCCCGTCTTAACGATATTTTCAAATAGTGACACTTTCTCCGCGCAGGTCTCCACGGTGTCAAGGAGGCGTGGTATGTCAACAATTTCGAGGTAAATTTGTATTGCGTGTCTTTTACTAGGTCTCAAATCCTTCGAGATAATTGTTTCCTTTGATTGCGATGGTTTTGCTCGAAGCTTGGGCTGGATCTCCACTGAACTGTGATCCGAAAGGCCAACTTTAGGTCGCTCGATGGCTTTATCATAGAACTCCTTCATGTTGGTTAGAATACGATCCAAAAAACTTTTCCCTCTGGTCGGAAAGTGAACAATTTGTTTCAGATTGAAATTAGATTTAAGAGTCGTTTCGTTTAGGTGGTTTAAATCGCCGACAAGAAGGATTCCACTGTTTGGATGTTGATACTCAATTGATGTAAGGCAATTTAATAAATAATCTTGCATTTTTGAGTCAGGAGCTGACGGTGGATGGTATATAACTCCAGATATAATACTAGAAAAGCCTCTAGGGAGTCGAGTTGGTCGCAGCTTTGCCCACAGGACTTCAAAATCAAAGACCGGATTCTCGTCGACCTCGGAAAAATCGAGAACAGAAAAAGGGATGGATTCCTTAATGTACATACACACTCCGCCGTGAGTGGCCTCCTTTCTGTCCCGTCTGATGATATTATAACCATTAATTGCTATTACGGAGTCCGGGATATGTTGTCGCAGCCAAGACTCCGTAATGCAAACAAGGTCGTAATTAGCATTTTGAACAACGTGGCTTACTTCATCAATTTTTGGTGCGAGCGACATCACGTTTGATAGAAACAGCGATGGTACAAAGTTTCTTGCTTGCGGTTCTGGTACACTTGTGAATTGGGGTTTGGTGGTGATGGAGATACAATTCGACGGGTCGTGGCCACGTAAGTTAATTTTCGCTTTGCTGTGGTCCTTTGGTCTCGGGTTGACTTGTGTGATCTTGTAAGTACGATTCGCTTCTTTGGTTTTTGTCGATCTCCCAGCTCTCTTTCCACGATAACGTGACCACAAATTCTTAGCTAAATTGTTTAGCAGAGGTCTTGTGCAAGGCTGAGCCATTTGACAGAGTTTTAAACTACTAAAAAGATGAAAATATAAGGAGCGCTTCAAAGTGCAGCCATACGTGGCGCATACACAAACTCTGCAAGGTAAAAAAAGACAAGGAAGGAAAGGGGGCTACTATATGGGGAATTGACCAAATGTCTGTTCAGTAACCGCTTGAACGTGTGGATCGCTGTGTTATTACACATATCAGCCCTGAATCAAACATTAAGGTCAGGAGAATAAAGGAGCTGATGGTCGCCAAATTTTTCGCCTTCACAAATAACGGGGGAACAACTCGATAACCTTCTTTTGGTAAAGGCTTTCCTTAGGGGAGGCACTCGCTGGCTGCGGGAGGGTCGGGATCTATTACGGCTGTTGACTATCCTTGAGACAATGACTAAAAACATCAAAGTTGGCTCCAACGTAGATTTATTCTATACGCACCACAAAGCTGACTGGTTTCCTTTTTCACTATTTTACTGTCCCATGATACTCCCAAAGAAAGCTCTATTTAAGCCTAAGGTACAAAAGATCAGGTAATGCTATGAATTATCTAAAGGATCACGTAATCTAATACAACGATTGGTTAATTACGAATTCCCCTTTTACAAGATTAATCCCTTTCAAATAGCTCAGGTGGATAACAACTACACGAAGGATCATGACTGGAGACGGTTACAGTTTAACACTAGTTACAGACATGATGTAATACCAACTGTTTAAGGCTGACTGTATTAAGACCGGTATCATCTATGCATGCTGAACTTAGTAAAATCTCGCAGTTTCTACGTTGGATTTTATATATTTTTTTAAGCGCTTGTTTTTTCATCAATGGGTTGCTAACTGTTAATGTCGTTAAATAGTTGGTTTATTCTGTTTCTGCCATAAGGGAGCTCCATTCAAATCGCCTGTTTCCTCCTCATTGCTTCTCTCTTTAGCACGTCTGGTCTTCTCAGCAATTGAACTCTGATCAAAGTTACAACCGGGATTTTGTTGCTGAATATTCTGCCTTCGCGACTCTCGCGCAATGCTACACAAGTTACCAACATCTCGCTCATGTTCACCTGGTAAAGTGAAAAAAAAAAGAAAAAAGGAATTAAGCCAGCGAAAATCAGAAAATCTTTACTTGACACACACACGCAATTCTACTTAAAAGTTAATCAACTTCATGCGCCGTCAAAACTGTTTACCTTAAAAAAATCACTTCTTACCGAACCAAAAATTTGTATGCTGCATATTTTCAAAAACGAAGAAAGAAAAAAAGAAAACTTTGGGGTTGTCTTTGAAAGCGACATTTAGTGACAGGCCTTTTCACCAATTAATCAAGTTACTTGTAAACCTTCATATCAGCAGCATGAGGCGTCCTCTTATTCGCTCCCTCTTTGCCTCAATCAACAGAAAAACTATTGTAGTAGTATTGTGGCCGATGTTTGTTACCTGGAAAACATTCTTCTTTTCTGCTACTTCCTCCTCTCTCCTGCTCATTGACTTTGGGCTTTGGTTCGAGCCTAATAAGGTCTTCACCAACAAGATCCGTGCAAGTTTTCGTCAAAGATTCTTCTTCCGCTTCGTTTTTTCCTTCATATTTCGCGACACCCTCAGGGCCACAACACTCCTCTGATGTGGGGTTTTCATCTAAATCTGTTAAAAATTTGAAACAGAAGAGATGTTGAAATTTTTTGGTGAGAATTGTGTTCATGAAGAATATTTTCAAAGTTCTTGAAAGATAAGTCATTCATGTGTGTTTCAATGAAGCCCTTCGAATCAACTCTTCGATTTTACAAGCAAATTTATACAAAATTTAAATTTTTTTCAACAAAGTTTTAATTTGTAATTACCAAAATATACGTGAGGAAATTTGGGGTCGAAAAAATGTACAGTGACAAATTTAAACGTATAAGATTGCAACCTATTAAATAGCACTGACTCCTTGTCATGTTTCCTTTGCTTTGGTTGGTTGGTTGTTATTACTTAGGGTTTGATTTTAAGACACTTACTTGAAACGTTCTCTAAAATACCACAAATATTTCTTCTTGGGCACCACTAACAACTTAAGCACATGCTTCGACGCGTGGTAATTTTGCAGTTTCTCAGTTTAATAACACTTCACTTGCAAGTCTTTGCGTTACTTGTAAGTTAAAATGTGATTCATCTCATTTTATTGTGATCCATTGGTAATATTGTAGAATTTTCAAATAGAGTACAATTCATAGTAGTGTTAAATCCATGCAGAGTACAATTCGGTCCGTAATTAAACGAGTGACAGACGAAATCGGACTCCTTAGGAGTGGGAGTTTCATTTACTTTCGTATCACAAGTGTGATTAGACTGACTCGATCAACAAAAAGTTCAATTAATCTTTAACACTGTGACAAATGCTTGAAGACAAAATACTCATCACTTAAAGGTGTGGATAAATAATGACGCAATTCCCTTTTTAACTATAGAAAATGAATCCAATAGTCTACATAACAGCGCACTCAACAGAGTTCACTGTCCGATTTCTGTAAGAACACAACGTGTACATTTTTTTTTTATTGGTGCCTCTCAAAATAAACAACCACCTACGAATTTTGTTAAAATTTTATTAAAAGTTTGTTAAATCATGATAAAACATTCTGAAATTTAAGTAGATGTAAGTATTCAGGATGACAAAAATAGGGTACCTTCACTCGAAGCCGTTGAAGAATTGTCTTCAGAAAAAGAGCTTTCGGAACCAGAAGATTTATCAGACAATGACTCCTCATCACCCAAATATCCAGTGCAGGAAGGTCCTGAGGAAACACGTACCGAGTCAACATTATCGCCTAAAGAAGATTAGCAAGATGCAGTCGAAACCTTGTGATTCACATCGCAAATGACTTCATCGTGAGACAGACGATAAGAAATTATTACAAGGGTATTCACCCTTGCAATGATTTTACAGAAGAATGTTTGGAGAGAAAGTAAGAGAGAGTTTGGTACCAAAAAAAAAACAAAAACAAAAAAACAGCAGCCTCTGTCTTTTGTCCCTAAGATGGCCGCTACAAGGACGTAAGACGATTTTTTTAAACTCGTCGTGTTTTGAAAAAAAATTTAAAAAAAACTTTCAAGCTTAACAGTATGATCGCGAACTAGAAGTGTTTCAAAATAGTTACAAGAACGTACCTGCCAAAGGTTCCGATAAATCTTGTCCTTCACTTCTCTTCGTTTTATCAACCATAAAATCAGCCCAATGGCAGAAAAACTCACTTTGTAATTTTGGATCTTTAACCAGTCGTAACAGTGTTTCCCTATCTTGATCGTAATAGTCGAAATCAGTCTTTCCAAGAATTCCTCCAGTCGAAGAATACACTGTAACAGTTACTTTGCCAGGCTTATCAGATGCTGAGGTACAAAATTGAAAACATACAGTAAAATGCAAAAAACGTACGCGAAAAAGGAAGTATAAATATTTTTTTAGTATTTAAGTCATAAAAGACTTACCCGGAATTCGACCTTTCAAATTAAAATCATTAATTCTTTCCAAGTCAGCAACAGCCTTCTCTCCAAATTCTGCCCAGGCAGACTTTACTTCCAGTGGAAGAGCCTGCCCAAAAACTAGGACAAATGGCGATCCACCCTGAAAGAAATGCATGCCACCGGTTAAATTTATCTTAGATAGCCAAGTTTAAAAAGGAGGATACACCTCAGATGGTTTCTGGAACATACTTTTATTTTTAGTGGCAACCCTATGAATGCAAACTCACAAACTTGAAAGACAATTAAATGTTCGGAAAAGTATATATTCAATTCAAGTTCAAGCGCAAACAGGAGGTACACAACTATGAAAAACAAAATCATTCACCTCAATAGGCTCTTCACTTGGGCGGATTTCCAAAATATCTAAAACCATATAAAAGTTAATTGGTTAAGTCGGTGTTAGCAGGATATTTCAAAAACTAACTCAAGTTTTACAGACACTCCTCTTCAGCCCTTTTTATAGAAGAATGAACCTCAAAGGCCTACTCAAGTTTTACAGACACTGCAAAGAACAGTTGATATGGCTTTGTAAACTTATAAAGCAGAACCTCATCCTAGGGACAACCTCAGGACTAGTAAGAGTCCCGTAGATAGAGGTACTCCATCAGTGAAGGAACAGCTTCAGTGGAACCTTTATTCAGGGGACAAATAAAAACCACAAAAAGTGTCTCCAAAAGAAGGGCCTTTCTTTAATGAAGGTAACAGATACAGGGGAACCTCTACTCAGGGGAAAGCTAAAAACCAGAGAAAATTTTCCCTGAATAGAAGTGTTCCTTCAGTGATGGTAACAGAAAAAATAGATTAAAGAAAAGTTTTTTAATTACGTCTGGATCCAAGGCTTGCTTCCCTTGATGAAGGTTTTGCTTTAATATAAGTTTCTCAAATAAAAGCTCTGAACTATTAGAAAACTTTAAGGTTGTGAAATAATCTGGAACATCAGCTCAGGTAAGATATACATGACTCGTATGTACCTTCAGACTTTTCGGAAGTTTCAAATCCTGAACCTTCTGATGACAGTGGCTGCAGATGAAAAATACAAAATGAATTGTAATGTTTAAAATTAACATTTTCAGCTTAGATCTAAAGACAGACTTGGACATTGTAACATTCAATTTAAAAGTCAACCAGTATGTTGTATTGTAATGATGCAGAAGCAATAATTTACTGAAGATTGGTAAAAGGCTAATAAGTAATACTAATGCCTGTTGTTTCATCACTTGTCCATGGAGGAAGGACAGAGATCTTTTTAAAAAGTGTTGAACACCAATTTTAAATTTTGGCCAATTGTAGGGGTATTTTGTCAAATAGGGTGCTCACTTGAGGGGAGGTGCCATCTTAGGGATTTTTGATTTAATTATCAGATTTAAATTTCCCAAACCAAACATTTCTTAATCTAGAGCTTTATACCTCAGCATCAGACATTTGAAGAGTGAAATGTCCACTCCTTTCTTGGTCTTCAGCTGCAACAATTGCACCTGCTGACTCTTTCCCTGCAACTTGGGAAGGGTCAGTTTTCTCAACATTAGGCTCTTCCAGATCAGGAGATTTGAAGTTCTCTGTTTCCTGATGGCCCCCTTCTAAATCATTTCTGTCAGCTTCTACCTCTGTCCAAGACAACTGTTGAGATATTTCAGTGATGTCCAAAGTTGTTACGGCCTTAGAACTTCCTAAAGTCGATGCCTCTGAAGTAACTATGTTCTGTGGTTGCTGAGAAGATGCACTTGAAATATGTAACCTCTGAAGCTGATGGGGAAATGTTGAAGCTTGTGGCACTGATTGCAACCCTGGACTGTTAGAGGCAGGAAAAAGTGGCATCTCTAAGCATTGTTGAGCAGGTACTGTGTTTAAGGCATTATTTCCACCTGTAGGTGCTGGAGCAACAGGAATCCCTTTAGTGGTAGGAAACACAAAAAACAGGATTCCTCCTTCATACAAGAAGAACAACTTAATAAACTATAAATAACATTTTCTCTTTCTCTAATCAAGATTACAAACAAAGTATATAAAAAAGTTACTTTGTTGCACAGTGCATCATTGATAACATAATTAAATTTCTTGTACATTTAGCTTCTAATTAAGAAAAAAATGTTTATCAATGGATTGCATATCTAATAGTCAAGAATAGAGGTTAGGTATGTATAGTAGACTGGTTTGTAAAGCTACACAAAATCAGCAGTCTTGAAGCCATTTGCAACAATGCCACTCCCCTTTGACAGTAGAATCTAAGAAAATTTGCTGCCACCCATCACTGTACAGACCAAAATTATTCATAAATGCAAACAGGAAACATTGTTTTGTTGACACCTACCCATTTGAGGAGGCTGTTGTAATGGATTATGCTGGAATAATATCGTATTACTTGGCGCCCCAAGTTCTTGCTGCACATTCATGAGTGGTCTTTCATTTGATAACTCAACATCACTTTTCTCAGCACTTTTTTCAGCCTGCCCTGACACCAAATTCAAATGACTTGAAATGTTTTCGGAAAGACCATCATGTGAAGCAATTACAACAGGAAGCTTTTCAGGGCTTGGTTGAGCAGGACCATTCATCGATGATAGCGACATTTTCACTGGGCTCTCGCTGCTTGTCAACTCTCCATATGTTGCAATCTGGTCAAATGAACGTTTCCTTCCTAACTGCTCTCTAATAGCATATATGTATCCTGAATCATCCACCACCTCTGATTCTTCAAATTCCTGTTCCCAACAGAAATAATACATGTGTCTTAGCATAACATCCATTACTAGTGACAGCCAAAATATTTGTGATTAATCCCTCCTTTAATTTCCCTAAAAGAACCATTCCAACACACTTTGAGTCATGCCTTAAGATAGGACTGACACACTTCTGACTTCAGTAGTGTGAGGAGATTATCCCAACACCCTGGACGTAATGCAACTCAGCAACAGATTACCCCAAAAATTTAAATTTTTAGGCTTCCCTGACAAGTTGCTTGTATATATTCACACCCCTTGTGGGAGTGGAAGGAACAGGGAAGTGAGATGCTTTGAGTGCACTTTCCTTTCCATTTCTGGGGCCCAAGATCATTTCATAGACACAGTGTCATGGGTAGAATTTTATGTTGGTACTGGTCCCTGCTCAGAGGTTTTTTTCTCAAGGTTGTCTGCTTTTCCTCCCTACACAAAACTAACAGATTTGATTGGGAGCTAATTTGTGGAATCTCCACCATCTACAATCCTACTCACTTCCGCTCTCGTGCCTACACCAGCTGTAACCGTAGGTATTTTCTGAAGAACTCTTGCTGAAAAAAAAGAACAAGTAATTTGAGATAAGACCATAACATTGCATTAGCCAACTTCAATGCACTCAAATTTCACAGGTGAGTAATTGCATTGTATCACTCACCATGTCCTGGAGTTGTTGCTGGTTCAGTGTCATGAATCTTGCATTCTGGGCCATCAAGGCTATGTGGAACCCAAGTAGAGTCACCGTCTAACACTTTCTTTTCTATTTCACTCAATTCTTGTTCATCACCAACATCACTTCTGCTCAACATTGGTTCTGAATGAGCCATTGTTATATCCATTCCTTCCTCATTTGGAACTACAAAAACAAACAAACAAACAGCTTATCCACTGTTCCTCCATTCTATGATTCTGTTGAATAACTCAAGGTATTGTATCTTGCTGCTGGCTTGCTTGCAAATTTAGTGACTCTTCAGCATAAGTTGCTGATTCAAACAGTGAAATTCTCTCTTTACAAAGAAAAAAAATTCCTCAAAGCTGCTATGATGTGCAGATCACATATATTGAGATATTTCTGCAAGGAAAGTTTTGCTTTAAAACAAGCGTAGGTGGATACCACTGTGAAATTATTTTGAGAAGTTTATTATATTTTGAAGTGTCACAGCAGGAACTAAATAGATCATATCTTCAAATCTGCATAATTTGCCGATTTAAACTGTAAAATGCTCTCTCTTCATACAAAAAAAATTCCTTTACGTTTCATTACCCCCCGATCACATCTATTAAGATACTTCTGCAAGGAGAACTTTTGTTTTTAACTGCATGTAATCCTGAAATAATTGTAAGATGTTTATTGTCTTCTTCTGTCTTCAATAGTGTCATGGAAAGAACTCACTCACTCACTCATCTCGACGACACGTGCAGCTTTGCCTCCTACAGAGCAACCTCGCGAGCTACATTAAGGTTCACGATCATTTTCATATCTAGATTTCTACTAGCTACAAGTTGAGGCATAGGTGTTCTTAGACTATATTACAATTCGAATTATATCTTCAAAAAGTTCATCGCCAACAAAAATAAGCACCATAAAATTACTCACCATCTCCAACTTCAGCCCCGCGTTTAGACATATCAGGTCAATGTTTAACTTAGAACAAAATTTTCACCAAAAACTACGGATCACCGGCAAACAACTAACCGCGAGCAAAAATTTTTATTTGCGGCGTCCAGTTGACTCCTGCGCATGTTCATAACAGAGCACACCACACGGTTCTCTACGCCAGCGGATGAAAAGAATAGCGTTATTGTGGTGGTGTACGTAAACTTGAAAATCATACTAACTAATGAAAAGTGGAACTAAAAAACCTGAAGAAAATATCGAATTTTTTCTAGTGTGCCATCCACTGCTCCAGGAGGTTTGGAGGTGAAAAATGAGAGGATAATTGATGGCCTTCTACGCAGCTTTTACGCTGTTTTCAGGTTCCCGCGCGGGATTAAATAGATTGCAAAGTAGTCAGTTTTATTGGTAAAGATGAACTTTGAGCGAGCTGTGAGTTCTTCTCGTAGCAAACTGGGCTCAGAGGAAAATGAGAATGAGGAGATGGGACAACGGCAAACCATAGAAGTGATCGGTTCAAATTTCAGAGACAGCCTCCTGCTTTTACTCCTGATGCAACAGCTGATGATTGTATGGGAGGCCGCACTTGAGCCGGGATGTCTACTAAACAAAGAAAAACAGCAGTGTTTTAAAACTCTCTGTGCCTCTTTTTAAAACAAAAACGCCCATATTGTCGCCCCTAACGAACAACATACCTTAGACAACTTTTCTAAACCTTTTCTTGATCTACTTAAGAATAAAATCATGCCAAACAAGTTTCTTTTTATGCTGCTTTGATATTTTCCTGTTTGACAAATTATCTTTTCACCCTTTGAAATGTACTTTGTTGTTATTTCAAGTGAGAATAAAATTGTTTAACAACTATCGTACTATTTACTTGTTCTAAAATAACTTTAGGGAGCAAAAATAGAAATTACTACTTGATGTGTTATTTTGAAATATTTTCAGTAAGACTATTACTTGACCCTAAGTTTACTGAAAAGACATGGCGTATGAATCAAATATTTGCATCCCTCCTTAAGATCAAGAGAAACGGTGAAGCAATGATATAATTTGAACCTTGAAAGCATCAGAAGCTTTGAGTCTATTCTAGCTTCTTTCTTTTGCATGATTCGATTTGCTAAATCAAGCTAGGGCTTGGTTGTTTTTTATGAAAAAAAAAATGTGGAAGGTTCAGTTCACTTTTTGCAATTTTTAAGCGTGAGATTTTTCAAAGGTTAAATGGTATCATTGCTTCACTAAAAAGAGAGGAAAAGTAAACATAGTATTATTTTTTCAGTCTGTTACAACTTTTGGCTTGAAGTCGTATTTTTTAAAAATTGCCTGTGGTTACTAAAATGATACCGCCACCTTATGACTAGAGTGTTCATTACCAAGGATGATAGTCATGAGTTTTTGGACAAGCTTCAGCTCTCAGCATTGAGTATTCATCACATAACCATGTGTATCACACACACTGGAGGTACTTGACTTCTATCTTCTTGTGCAACAATACACTCACAGTGACCATGAAATCAAGCAAGTCAGGAGCTGGCCTAACTTTTTTTTATTAAGCTGCTCCAACTGAAATCTTCAAGGGTAGACTTTATACTATACCTTGTTCAGCATGTAAGACATAAAAGCCAGCAGTTCCAGGTTTCTGTACGCATAGGCTTTTGCACTGTTCATCAATCTCCTCTAGAAACTGATATTTGCCACATGCTTCGACGCTATAAGTAGGGAGCAATATGATAGTTTTTTGCTTTTTGCAGTGATAAATATTTTCATTTTGAATGAATTAAACTCTGTTTAATGTTTCTGATCATAGTAAATTAGAGTAAAAAATGTATTGACATGAATTTTTTTTTTTTATGACACACCTGTGTATTGTACTGATGTGTTAAAAAAAAAGTGCTCATCGCAAACCAGTAGTAATTGTAGCAAGATATAACACCTTCATACTTTCTTAAGGACCTCAGGATTTCTATGGCCAGCCCTCTCAAGTATTTCAATCCCTGTTGATTGCTTGGTTAAATTAGAGTCAAAGTATAGGATGTGGAAAAGGAGGATTTAATGTGTCGCAAGATTCACGGATAAATATGAAAGGGTTACCCCTACTTGCGGTTTAGTGGTTTACTTGCGGTAAAGCAGATAGCGAAACTGGATAGCGACAGACCTCATTTCTCTTTTTTTTACCAACCCAACCCTTTTCTTCGCGATTTCCTTTACATATTTAGGCCTCTCGATTTCTTCTTTGATACTGACTACAAGATTGTGGCAAGCATGTCCCACATAGTTTTTGTTCTGTGCTATTCTGACGTTGAATTCTTTTACACTAAAACATTTCTGTACGCTTGCATGACCTCTACAATGCCTTCTTTTCTGCTTTTCACTTAAAACAAATTAATGTAATGATTCATTTCTACTTCTACGTCTTTGAAACAACCTCAGCAATCCATTCTTCCATGAAAATCAGTTTCATGCCATTACAGCACGCAGTGGCTTTGGTTGGATGTTTTCCACGCATCAACAGGCAGTTTACAATTGAAAACTTTCAGGTGAAAAAAAAATAAACAATAGTAAAAACAATTTATATCTATCATTGTTAGCGCTCTATTTCCGGCCCATGTAAATCATACTTACCGTGTGGAGCCTATTGTTTTCCTATCAACCAATCAAAAAGATTGAATTAATCCATTCTCCCAGTTGTCATTTTTTGGGTAAGTACATCATGTAAAGGGAATTATTATCACCAATATACACTATGTCCTATATCTTATATGTAATAATTCCCCATACATGACTTACCGAGCCAAAATGACCCCAGGCTCGAGATTGGCGACGAGCCGGAGAAGAAAATTGAAATATGAGTGGTCAGCGGTGAAATAGCCTAAATTGGTGAGTAAGTCATGCATAGGGAATTATTATTCCTAATACATATTATGTCCTATACTTTACATTGATATAAATATCCCATACTTTACACATAGTAATTCCCTATATATGACGTCCCCAGGCTTTAATTGCTCGCATAGAAACAAATCATTTGTAGTTGCAGTGAGCCATCGTGGTAAAAATCCCGAAATGTTACCAATATACTTCGCTAAGTAAAAAGCTAAGAAAATTTTTCAAAAGCACTCACTGATTTTTTCCCTACTTCCTTCGCTCTAACTTTTGTGTTTTCCTTGCCCTCTCTAGGCATGATTTTCGAAACCCTTCCACTCCCTAAAGTGATTAACAAGTAACTTCTCTCCTTTGTTCGGAATGTTTTAGTTTATAATGCGTGACAAGTTCGCAATCTCGACCATGCCCCTGACAAGGAGCCAAAATGACCCTAAGCTCGAGATTGGATCAGACAAGTTCGTAGCAAGCTAACATGGTAGCCTCCCCTTATGCAAATTGGTTTACCTCCTTTAGAAACGTCTCAGGAATATTTTCAGATTATGGTAGCGGGTGAGCGAGGAATTTTTTTTCTCTACATAAAACCTGATTTTAGGATACCTTTCACAGCGAGTTATCTGGTGTCACAGAAATGTTTTCCACACTATAAAATCCGCAGTGTGGCTAAATGTCATTTAGGCAAAGTTAAATCGCAAGCCAATGCGGTCAGCGCTCTCCTCCTCGAGCGTGCGTGATCTGTGGGGTGACCGCAGGGGCCTTTTGCTTATCTTGTGATCTTTGCGGATCTGTTGCTTGAGCGAATCTTTGCGGATTCTGGCTCCCAGCCCGTCCTTCCCCTTCTATGCATTGGTAAGTATGGGGTCATATGAGTATTTTCTACTAAATTCTTTCAAGCGTGACGGTGTCGGTTGGCGGCTGCATGCAGGGGTGGTTGCCGCTCGCAGGGTTGCCATGGATTCCTCCGTTCAGGCTCCCGTCCAACCTTTAAGTCACCAGTTCCCAAGCTCATCTATTAGTGACGAGTTTAATTATCCAATAAACAGGTTTTGAGAATACTCAAACTAATCGAGTAGAAATTGCCTTTATCTAACAATAAATTCTTGTAACTAAGCAGCTACAGGGGAGAATTAACTATCGGATCTTGGGTTTTCAAGGGTTAAGTTCTGCAAAGACAAGATTACGTCTAATCTTAAATGAAGCTTACAAAAAAGAAAATTATACAGAAAAGTAGCTAAATTTTAATGTCAATTTTACATTTGTATACTTGATATAAAAATATTTATTCACAAATGCTCAATGTCTTTTAACAGTTTCTGAATCACGTTAAGTTGTCACACGCTAATATGAACGGTCTATATGTACAAATGTGTAAACATTGGAGACTACACAGGAACAGCATACTTGTAATATGAATATTTATTTACAAACGCTCAATATTTTTAACAGTTTCTGAATCATCTTAAGTTGCTTCCCGCCAATATGAACAGTCTACATGTACAAACGTGTAAATATTGGAGACTACTCAGGAAAAGTAGCTCTTGCTTCCATACATTAAGTGTAACATCTGTATAATGTTTTATTCGGTTTGGTGGCGCTCAATTAAATCTTCTCCGAACTCAGTGTTGGTGGAGAGCATCAATCCTCTGAAAAACAAAAGCGAACTCTTTAGAATCATAATTCCTGTTATCCTCATGTCTTTGCATTTAACTTGGTATTTCTTAAATGGAAAAAATAATTTTAAAAAATTATAAACCACGGCTGTAAAGGAGCAACACTCATATAAAGTGCGCGAGATGTCATAGGGAAAATTTATTGGTTTAAGTGGTAATTTCACCAGCCTTTTCGCGGCCATTTCGTAGTTTCGCTTTCCCAAAGCTCTCAGAAAGCACTTGTTCGGAATCCGGAGTCCAAACATACTCCTCTACAATCTTCTCAAGCATCAGAGCTCCCAAGTTACCAAATTTGAAATACCAAGTTTGTCCCCTCGAAAATTATACGTAAGTATTAACGAGGTACTATATTTTGACTCCAAAGTAAGTAATTAAGTAAGTAAGCAAGTGAGTACGCGATCTAACCGTGCAAGAATTGCCATCAATTGTGCTAATATTGGCTATGGACGCCGCATTGAAACAATATTTCAGCCACTCACAACGAAATCATAAACCACATAGGACAAAGACACCTATCGAAATAAAAATAATCACAATTTGAGTCAAGGATACCATTTTATGTAGCCCCTAATTGTTTTAAGATATTTCCAGTGAGGCTTCATTGCGGCCAGGCTGCTAAGCAATATTCCAATGACAGCGTCTTAGGTTGAATATTTGTAAAGAATATTTGAATACGATTTTTCGAACGGTTATATAAATCATTTAACGGCGGAGATAAAAATAATGTTATTTCTGGAGCAAACGTCTTCCTTGTTTGAGCCATATGGTTATTATAAATTGTGGACGTCGTAAATCCTCGCATAAATGTGACCAAATATCAATGAAAGTAATAATCGGTTGGGTTGAGTGTTACAATACAGGTACAAAGCTATAATAGCTACCAATACTTACACTGAAGACTCGTATTGCTATCTGTGAATTTCGTGAAACTGTTGTTCCATTCTGTTCCTGCTATAGGGGAGCTCCATTCAAATCGCCTGTTTCCTCCTCATCGCTTCTTTCTTTAGCACGTCTGGTCTTCTCGGCCATTGAATTCGGGTCAAAGTTTGAATTAAAAACGGAACTTCGTTGCTGAATATTCTGCCCTCGCGACTCTCGTGCAGTGCTACATAAGTTACCAACATCTAGCTCACGTTCACCTGTTAAAGTGAAAAAAAAAAAGAAAAAAGGAATTAAACATGCGAATATCAGAAAATCTTTAACAGACACAACCACTTTATTCTACTCAAAAGTTAATCGACTTCATGCACTCGACGCCGTCAAAGCTGTTTACCTTAAAAAATCATTTCTTACCAAACCAAAAATTTGTATGCTGCATATTTTCAAAAACGAAGAAAGAGAATAAGAAAATTTTAGGGATGTCTCTGAAAGTCATATTGAGTGACAGGCCTTTTCACCAATTAATCAAGTTACTTGTAATACTCCATATCCGAAGCATGAGGCGTCCTCTTGTTCGCTCCCTCTTTGCCTGAACCAGTAGAAAACTACTGTTGTAGTATTCTCGCCAATCTTTGTTACCTGACGAAAAATCTTCTTCGCTGCTACTTCCTCCTCTCTCCTGATCATTGACTTTGGGCTTTGGTTCGAGCCGACTAAGGTCTTGACCTACAAATGCCATGCAGGTTTTCATCAAAGATACCTCTTCTGCTTCGTTTTTTCTTCCGTATTTCGCGACAGTCACAGGGCCACAACACTCCTCTGATGTGGGGTTTTGATCTAAATCAGTTATAAAGTTGAAAACAGTAGAGATGCTGAAATATTTTGGTGAGAATTGTGTTCGTGAAGAATATTTTCAACGTTCTAGAAAAGATAAGTCTTCAGTGTGTGTTTCATTAAATCTTTCACATCAAATCTTCAATAGTAACTTGGACATTTCATACGTAAATAAATACACAATTTACTTTTTTTCAACAAAGTTTTACCTCGTAATTACTGAAATTCATGTGAGAAATTTGGGGTCGAAAAAATTTACAGTGACAAATTCAAACGCATAGGATTGCAACCTATTAAATAGCACTGACTTCTTGTCATATTTTCCTTGCTTTGGTTGATTGTTGTAATCACTTTGGTTTTGATTTTACGACACTAAATTGAAAAGTGCTCTAAACTACCACAAATATTACTATTTGGGCGACAAATATTACTATTTGGGCATCACTAACAACTGGACCGCATACTTTCCGCTTCTACTGCACGCCTTATACATACCGATTTTGTTTTCATTCAGAAGTTATACTGACATATCATTTTCTATTTTCAAATTCAACTTATATTTACATAACGTGTAATTTTCTTTTTTTCTTCACACGACCCCACAATTTCATAGCTTAAAATATTATCGATTATAAATAAAGGTCATGCATCTACCTATCTATAGAACATTCTGAAAATTATTTACGTGCAAGTAATCAGGATGAAAAATATAGGGTACCTTCACTCGAAGTCGTAGAAGACTTGTCTTCAGAATGAGGGGTTTTGGAACTAGAAGATTTACAAGACGATGACTCTTCATCACCTTTATACTCAGTTTCTTTTATCTCATCAGTGTGATCTGTTTGTACATAATGTGATAATTTAATTAACACAAATCATCATATAACTTTACTTAAGTTTCGGCGTATTCAGCATCTCAGTGCTGATTGGCACATTGCAAATTTATATAAAAGTAAACAAATAGAATATGAGGTACTAGATCAAACGTGTACACTTGCCTATTGGTGCCTCTCAAAACAACCAACTACTCGTGAATTTTATTATAATTTTGTTAAATTATGATAAAAAATTCTGAAATTTATTTACATGTAAGTATTCAGGATGACAAAAATAGGGTACCTTCACTCGAAGTCGTTGAAGAATTGTCTTCAGAATAAGAGGATTCAGAACTAGAAGATTTACTAGACAATGACTCCTCATCACCCAAATATCCAGTTTCTTTGATTTCATTAGCGTGATCTGTTTGGACATGTGATTATTTAATTAACACAAATCATCGCATAACTTTACTTAAGTTTCGGCGTATTTGGCATCTCAGTGCTGATTGGTACATTGCAAATTTAAACAAAAGCAGAGTAATAGAAAATTTAGTATCAAACGTGTACACTTTCCTATTGGTGCCTCTCAAAATAAACAACCACTCGTGAATTTTAGTAAAATTTTGTTAAATTATGATAGAACATTCTGAAATTTACTCACATGTAAGCAAACAGGATGACAAAAATCGGTTACCTTCACTCGAAGTCGTTGAAGAATTGTCTTCAGAATAAAAGGTTTCGGAGCAAGAAGATTCACTAGACGATGACTCTTCATCACTTAAATATCCAGTTTCTTTGATTTCATCAGTGTGATCTGTTTGGACATAATGCGGTAATTAAATAATGCAAATCATCATATAACTTAATTTAAGTTTCGGCGTATTAAGCATCTCAGTGCTGGTTGACACATTGCAAATTTAAAGGAAAGTATAGCAATATAATATTAAGTATCAAAATTCTAACTGTTGAAAGGCAAACGAGTTAGTTGTTAAGGCAGTGTAACAGCGGTAGGCTCAATATCTAGCGGATTCATAGGGTCTCATAATCGAGTCGAAGCTAAATAGAGAACTACCACGTAGTAAATCCGGTCCTGAAAAGAACTGTTGTCGGTTACAGTGACTTGCGTTTCAATAACCTCAGCGAAAGGTTATATCAGGGTCAATTGAGGAGTTTTTCAGGGTCAGTCGGGTCCAGAGTTCTTGAAAACGAAACAGCCAGTTTTACAATGATGTTATTTGCTGGTGACTAAATTAAATATGAAAGTAGCTAAGTAATGGGCTTCATTTTACAAGGGTAACGCCTAGCAGTAACTACAATTAATGACAAACCTGTAGCCGCCTTTTATAGTACAACAAGCCTTTGTTATATATGAGAAAAAATGCTCCAAATTTAAAAAAATGAGGGTCACTTCGACAACCGATCCTAAAATAACTGCCATCTTTGTACAAAGGACTATCTTCTGCCCCTTAGATGGCCGTTACGAGGAGGTCAGACTGCTTTTTACACTCGTCATGTTTAGGAAAAGAAAAAAAACCTTAGAGCTCAAGAGTGTACTCGCGATCTCAAAGTGTTCAAAATAGTTGCAAGAACGTACCTGCCAAAGGTTGCGGTAAATCTTTTCCTTCACCTCTCTTCTTTTTACTAACCATAAAATCAGCCCAATGGCAGAAAAACTCACTTTGCAATTTTGGATCTTTAACCAGTCGTAACAGTGTTTCCTTATCTTGATCGTAATAGTCGAAATCAGTCTTTCCAAGAATTCCTCCAGTCGAAGAATACACTGTAACAGTTACTTTGCCAGGCTTATCAGATGCTGAGGCACAAAATTGCAAAAAAAAAAAAAACAGTTTACAAAAAATAATGTTAAATGCAGGAAGCGTACTCGAAAAAAGGAAGTATAAAACATTTTTCTAGTGTTTAAGCCATAAAAGACTTACCCGGAATTTTACCGCTCAAATTAAAAGCATTAGTTCTTTTCAAGTTAGCAACAGTCTTCTTTCCAAAATCTGCCCTGGCAGAATTTACTTCCGGTGGAAGACCCTGCGCAAAAACTAGGATAAATGGCGATCCACCCTAAAAGAAACGCATACTATCGGTTAAATTTATCTTAGATAGCTAAGTTTTAGAGGAGGAGTACGCCCCAAATGGTTTCTGGCACATACTTTTACTTTCAGTGGCAACCCTCTCGACGCAAGCACACAAAATCGAAAGATAATTACATGTTCGGAGAAGTATAAATTCAAGTCAAGTTCAAGCGCCAAAAGGTAGTATACTACTGTAAAAAAAAAAAAATTATTTACCTCAATGGGCCCTCTATTAGGAAAGATTTCCAAAATATCTAAAAGCAAATAAAAGTTACTTGATTAAGTCAGTGTTAACAGGGTATTTCAAAGGCTAACTCAAGTTTACAGACACTCCTAATCGCTGTTAAAATGGGTTTGCAAACTAATACTGTAGAACCTTCACCCAGGAGACAATCTCTGGACAAGAAAGTACCCTTGGAATAGAGGTGCTCCCTCAGTGAAGGAACAGCTTCAGTGGAACCTTTATTTAGGGGACTTATAAAAACCTTGAAAAGTGTCTTCAAAAGGAGGGCCTTTCTTTAATGAAGATAAACTATTCAGTGAAACCTCCATTCAGGGGACAAGCTGAAGACCAGAGAAAATTTTCCCTGAATAGAAGTGTTCCTTCAGTGATGGTAACAGATACAAAGATGAAAGAAAAGTTTACTAGTCTGGATCCAAGGCTGCTTCCCTTGAAGAACGTGTTACTTAGACAGAATTTTCCCAAATGAAATATCTGAACTATTAGAATATTTGCGAAAGTGAAATAATCTCGGACGTCAGCTCAGGTAAGACATGCATGTATGTACCTTCGGACTTTCCAGATGAATCCTCTAACGACAGTGGCTGTAAAATAACAATATGTAATGAACTGTAAATGTTTAAAAGAAACAAAGAAAAAACTAAAGAAAATTGAGTTCTGAGCAGAGAGAGGATTAAAAGAGAGCTTAAAAAACCGATTCAAAGAAACTTGTATAATAAACTTCACACAAGAGAAATCAGGCTAAAAGGTTTTTTATGTAGTGGACATCTGCTGAAACATCAGGACAAACGGTCAATGAGAGCGGGTTTGGAAAAAATCGTTTTTGCACGAGGTAGTAAGTAACCCATAATTAGCTATCTTCCTTATACTCTCAAAAATATTAGCAAAAACAAACCTTTACAGCTAAGGCGACCTTCATAAGCATATCGAGTCCGTTCTGACAAAGAAACAAAGAAACAAACAGAACAAAGATAAAATTCCTGACATCCTGATGAATTCTGACAGTCAAGAGCAAGATCCAAGATAAATCCAAAACTTACTTCAACGCTTTTCGATTGAGGGTCTTAAAACCAAAACAAAGTTATCACAACGGCCAATCAGATGGAAGGAAAATAATTTTAAGAGCCAATGAGAACTCAAATTAGATACAATCAAACTGCCTAAGGCGCGGGAGAACGCGGGCGACCAAGTCGTGGTTGGTTTTACTTTTGCGTCTGATTGGTTGAAAGAGTGGCGCGAGTTTTTTGGGCCAATCACAGAGCGAAGAAAAGCAAAACTTAACTAATCTCGGATTACTTAGGACACTCAATTGAAAATCGGCCTTTTATAACGTCCACAGTAAACCATTTAAACCACTAATTTGTAGGTGAAGCACATACACGAGAGAGGAATCAGTTTGGATTGCCACGATTGTTGCATTCAAACTCCGCCAGTTAAAAGTACATACGAAATCATGACGTTATCGCGTTTTGAGAATCCAAGTAGTTTAACTTTAATTGGTAGTTTCGGAGCATTTTTTGTTTTTTCAAATTTACAACTCAGTAGGAACCCTTTGCAAACGAGTAAGCAAAGCCAGGCAAGCATGATTCACAACTGCATAGCCAATTTTTGAGAAAGAAAATTTCAAAGGTCCACGAAACCCTCTGTTCTAAATTACCAAAAGCGTAAACCTTTTCTTAGGGAGTGAGTTTTAGTTGTAGTAAAACACTTTCCAAACGAGGTTTAAGTAAAACAGGGGTGATTCACAACTGCATACCCACCAAAAGTCCAGTAGGTTCTTACTAATGATATTTTTAACCATTCTTTATCGTAAGTGTTTCACTTTTTTAATGACATATACCTCTTTTGCAGGCATTGGTTTAGAAAACAAGTTATGATGTCAAGGATATTACTGTCCTTCGATGTACCTGAATCTCCTCCATAACAATGTAAAGGGCTGAATTTCCCTTTAGGATTCTTCTTATTGTTTTTCCATCCCATACACGAGGATCCCCATGAAATTGAAGAGTACTATCCGTGTTACTGATTGATGCGCAAGAAAACCTGCCCAATAGAAAAAAAAGCATTATTTCTCAAAGGGAATTTTAGTGGTAGGGAATTTATTCTTTTTCTTTCTTTGCCTCCTGGGTCATAACCCTGGAACTGGCCATTAAAAAATAAAAACTTGAATTGCAAATCAACAAAATCTTGAGATTCCTTTGGAAAAAACTGGAACAATCTGTTATCAGTTGTGGAGTCAGTTTTACAATTACCTCTGACCTCAATGAATAAAATTTTATTTAACTAAAATTCCTACTTTAAATTTCCTTTACCTTACACTTAAGTCAAAGGCAGGAAATGTTTCTTGAATTTTTTTCCTCACTGCATCTTCTGACATGCTTTTGGAGAATTGGACCTGTTTTTTATACTGTCCAGTCTTTCTCATTCTTGCCATCTCAATAGTGGTTGGCATAAGTATATTACCATCCCTTTGTGCTAAGTCCTCATTCTTCAACAACATCACATTTTTAGCATAAGTGTCCCCTCTCGTGGCTGCACCAGCTGGAGCTATATGTATGTCCTGAAGAATGTTTTCTGAAAAACAAATAATGTGTAATTAGAGATAATACCATTACATGGCATTACCCAACTTCAATGCACTCAAATTTCACGAGTGAGTAACATCCTTGTATTAACAACTTGCTAGCAACTTCACTCTAGATGCCTCTTGATAGTGACTTAATTGCCTTTTTATTAAAGAATGAATTTCAAAGGCTGACTCAAGTTTTACAGACACTACAAATCACAGTTGATATGGGTTAACAAACTTAAGATTAAAGTGAAAAATTCATCCTGGGGATAACCCAAGGACTAGAAAAAGAGTCCCTTAGAGAGAAGTGCTCCCTCAGCAAAGGAACAGATTCAGTGGAACCTTAATTTAGGGGACAAATAAAAACCACAAAAAGTGTCCCCAAAAGGTGGGCCTTACTTCAATGAAGGTAACAGATAGAGAGGAACTTCCATTCAAGGAATAAGCTGAAGACCTGAGAAAATTTTCCCTGAATAGAGGTGTTCCTTCAGTGATGGTAACAGATACAAAGATTAAAGAGAAGTTTATTTCATTACATCTGGATCCAAGGTGGCTTCCCTTGATGAAGGTTTTGCTTAAATAGAAGTTTCCCACATAAAAGCTTTGAACTATTAGATACTTTTAAATTAATAGTCGAGTGAAATAATCTTGCAGGTCAGCTCAGGTACAACATACATGCATGTACCTTCAGACTTTTCAAATGTTCCAAATCCTGAATCTTCCGATAACAGTGGCTGTAGAATAAAAATACGTAATGAATTGAATATGGTTAAAATTTCTTTTTTTAGCTTAGATAAAATGCAATTTAGAAGTCAACTGTTTTCTAGTATCATAATGATGAAGAAGCAATAATTTACTGGAGATTGGAAAAGGGCTAATAAGTAATACCATTACCTGTTGTTTCAGCACTTGTTCAATAAAATAGAGGGGGGGAGATTTTTTTTTAAGGAGTGTTGAACACCAATTTTAAATTTTGGCTAGGTGGAGGGGTACTTCATCAAATGGGGTGCTCACTTAAGGGGAGGTGCTAACTTATGGATTTATGATTTAATTATCAGATTTAAATTTCCCATACTAGACATTTCTTAATCTATAGCTTTATACCTCAATATCAGAAATTTGAAGAGTGGCAAGTCCACTACTTTCTTGGTCTCCAGCCACAGCAATTGCTTCTGCTGACTCTTTCTCTGGAACTTGCGAAGAGTCCGTTTTCTCAACATTAGGCTCTTCCTGATCAGGAGATTTGAGGTTTTCTGTTTCCTGCTGACCCCCTTCTAAATCAGTTCTGTCACCTTCTGCCCCTGTCAAAGACAACTGCTGCGATATTTCAGTGGTGTCCACAGTTGTTAGGGCCTCAGAACTTCCTAAAACTGATGCCTCTGAAGTAACTATGTTCTGTGGTTGCTGAGAAGATGCACTTGAAATACGTAAGCTCTGTAACTGAGGGGTAAGTCCTGAAGCTTGTGGTGCTGTTTGCAACCCTGGATTGTTAGAGGTAGGCAAAATTGGCATCTCCAAGCTTTGTTGAGCAGGTACTGTGTTTAGGGCATTATTTCCAGCTGTTGGTGCTGGAGCAACAGGAATCCCTCCAGCAGTAGGAAACACAAAAAATGGAATTCCTCCTAAATACAAGAAGAATAACTTGAGCTAAAAACAGCGTTTTCTCTTTCTTAAATCAAGACTATAAACAAAGAATATAAGAAAAGATGCTTTCCTTAGACAGTGCACCATTGACAACATAGTTAAACTTTTTATACATTAATCTTCCAATTAGGAATCCTTTATCAAGGAATTGCATATGTTCAACAGTAGAGGTAAGGTGTGTATAGCAGTCTGGTTTGTAAAGCTACACAAAATCAGCAATCTTGAAGCCATTTATAACAATGCTTTTAACAGAAGAATCTAAGACAATTTGCTGCCACCCATAACTTTACAGATCAAAATTATTCATAAATGCAAACAGGAAACATTGTTTTGTTGACACCTTACCCATTTGAAGAGGCTGTTGTAATGGATTATGCAGCAATAATATTGTATTACTTGGCGCCACAATTTCTTGCTGTATATTCATGAGTGGTCTTTCATTTGATAACTCAACCTCACTTTTCTCAGCACTTTTTTCAGCCTGCCCTGATACCAAATTTGAATGATATGTAATGTTTTCGGATGGACCATCAGGTGTAGAAATTACACCAGGAAGCTGTTGAGCAGGTTCATTTATTGATGATAGTGATGTTTGCACTGGGCTCTCACTGCTTGTCATCTCTCTTGCAATCTGGTCAAATGAACGTTTTATTCCTAACTGCTCTCTAATGGCACTAATGGTAGATTCATATCCTGAATCTTCCACCACCTCTGATTCTCCAAAATCCCCTTCCTAACAGAAATAATACATGTGTTTTACCACGACATCCATTATTAGTGACAGCTATAAAATGTGTAAATAATTGCTCCTTTAATTTCCCTAAGAGAACTATTCCAACACACTTTGAGTCACGCCTTAAGACAAGACAAAACACTACTGACTTAAGTAGTATGACGAGATTATCCCAAAATCCTGGACATGATGATACTCAGCCACAGATTACCCTCATAATTTATTTTTGGGGGCTTCCATGACAAGTTGCTGGTATGTATTCACAACCCTTGTAAGAGTGGAAGGAACAGGGAAGTGGGATGGTGCAGCTTTGAGTCCCCATTACTGGGGCCCAAGTTCATTCTGTAGACCCAGGGTCATGTATGGGTAGAATTTTATTTTGGTACTAGTTCTTGCTTCAAGGTTTTCTCTCCAGGTTCTCTGCTTTTCCACCTTACACAAAAACTAACACTTCAAATTTCAATAAGACCTAGAAACGATGGATTGGGGCCCAATTTGTGGAATCACCACCATCTTAACTCCTACTCACTTTCTCATGTTGTATCTTTTCAATATCATGACCTTACCCATACTAAGCAGAATTTTGTCAGCAAACTAAGTTGTTTGTTAGAGGGTCTAAACCAATCAGAATCCGTCTTTCGCGCAGATATTTTAATGTCTATAGGGGGTACTACAAAAGCATCATTTTATGAGTTCACAGCTGACTGTCCATATTTTCAAGTCGGATTTTCCGTTCCTTTCCGATCATGTTAGACCTTCTGGAAAACCAAATAACATGCTAGAGAATACTCCATTTCGAAAATAATGGACATCAAAGTCTCAAAAGCGACAAAATAAGCTTTCGAGTCAACAACACTAAGATTCTCTGAAGCGATGCGAATTGGGGCCTTAAAGAGAAAACCGAACTTCCGTACTTCAAGCGAGGCCTAGCGACATTATGAAAATTCCAAGGCCTAGTAAATATTATGTTTGAGTAAAGAGATGTCCAAAAAGTATTGTAAAATGGAAGATTTTGTGTCAAAACGTACAACTTTCAAAATTTCAACACAACGAAGCGCAATATTTTGGCGCTATATCGAAGGCGTTCGTCGAGGGTAAGAGTACACGGTAATTTTGGTCAGCGGGAAAATTATGAAACCCGCAAATATTGCAAAAGCCCACAAAAGGATGACATGTAAAAACTGAAGACAATTTTTGATTAAAAGACACTAGAATGCGTAATGATGGCGGCAAATAATCATTCTTCTTTAAATAAATCGGAGATTGACTTCCTTGAAGAAAACCTTGAAAATTGTTCTGTTAAAAACCAGTACTTCTTGGGTTATTTCAACGGGAAAAGAGACGAGTTCGAGGATATGCTCGAGAGGTTTCTTTTTATTAGTTTCACATGCTTTGTAAAGAAGGCCTTGCACTCAAAGGAGTTAAATCACAAGAGGCTTTCGAAAAATGGTAGGCAGTTTCTTTCATTTAAAGCTGATTTTTTTGTCTTAATTAATTCGGTGTGAGCCTTTTGCCGCAATTTTGTATAAACTTACGCAATGCACCGGGTGTAAAAGTGTCGAAATATTCAAAATTATTTCATGTATAGGAAAGCCCTTAGAAAACACTCTAAGTGCATAATCTAGTATACCTAAAGACTTTTTCAAATTATGCATTTGCAGCGTCTCCCATCTTTGAACACAATGGTGGTAATGTACCGATCCAATTTTTCGGCAAACCGTTTACCATCGTAAGCAATGAAACTCGGCATTGCCTCCACGGACCAACAAAGATGAGAATTCCTTTTCAAAACAGAGTTAGAAATATAATAAAACGTACCAGTAATATTCGATTTTTGCATAACCCGCGAAACTGTTTTAATTTTTCTAGGTATTTTAGAGGAGGAATCCATCGAGCTTTTCGCATACTGAGGAAACAAAATCGGGAAGGTCATTTACATCCATTTACTTCAGAATTTCCCATAAACGTAGCGTGTGTACAATTCCTGAAATTCTTTTTCGTTATTTCACGAATTATCTGAAGTTTCAGTGTTGACAAATTTTTCGTGTTACGTAATTAAAAAACATTGAACTTCACTCAACGGACTCAACGCTGCAAGGAGAATCTCTCATAATTTACTATTTAAGAGACGACATTACCATCTAAAATTAAAACGTTACTGTTAGCCTTATTAGCGCATTGATAACCTAGTAAATAGCTCAAACATACTGAAAACATTTTTATTGCTTTTTGTATATCCGTTGGTCTGTGAGCCACATGTGAGTAAACAAAACAGAGAAGTATAGTTTGATGGCTTGTTTTCATGAATCTAGGATTTTAGGAATTGCTATAAACTACGCGATCACGCATTTAGTAATATTTCTTCTTCTCCTAATGATTGATACTGGAAGAAAATAGCAACGGTGTAATGCCATTTTATGTGCCCGTTATAAAAAAAAAATTGCACTCGCATTTAGCTTGCAGGTAAAAATCCCATGAAAATCGTTCAAAAGAAATATATCTCAGGGTTTTTTTTATGACAACCACAAAATACTAAAAAAAAAATCAAGAAACTGCCGCAGGACCTCAAAGCTCCTTTGTTCCAGAACGATCTTGAACATGTCTTTTTTTGAATTTTTCGTGGGGAACAAGTGCTGAGGCTTACATGAAGTATTTTAAGTTTAACCGCTGTACTATAAACTTGTGTGTTCGACCCTCGACGAACGCCTTTGCTACAGCATCGGCCCAATTTTTTCTGGCCTTAAAGTAAAGTAAACAACGATCTAAGCGTAATGAATTCTACTTCGTGGGTCTCGTAAACGTAAGAAATTCGCAGTTTTTCGCTTCTAAAAGAAAATAAAGAAATTTTTTAATTAAGCTTTTATCCCAAAACGTTCCTTGGCCGCTTCCGTCTAGCTTTTTATCTAAAATTCCATGGGGTATTAAGATGTCTTCACACACTGACAAATTTGCATATTCACTTAGAAATCCGATCCGCATACTTGTTTGCACACGTGCGAAAAAACTACAGATCTTTATCTATTATCTTGACATTGGAGTAAAAACCTCCACATGCATCGATCGCTTTTTCCATTTGCTTTTTCCGGTTTCTCCGAAATTTAAAGTTTTAGATAGGCACGCGTTACACACCAGTGTCAATGGACAAGCCTTCAGCGAAGCTGCTTAGATCAAAGTTTTTCGTCTTCAGATGTAGCACAATGAAAATACATGCCGGTGATCACTTGAATTCTACGGAAAATTCATTTTTCCAGTCCTCTGTTTCTGGTTTTCATTCAGTTAGACCCGATTTACCTGAACATTTTGTAACTTAGGGCTCAAACTAGGATATTTCTATTTGCAGTCCGGTGCGCAAAAACATCAGACCAAGATTTAAATATAACTTTACTGTACTGCTTCCCATACATTTCCTAGACCTCTACCCTTAAAAATTTGGTGTGAAATCAAGCAATATTCCCTAGTTGATATTGTTCCCTCTTCTCAACACTTTTCTGCTTGAATTGTAAAGATACTGTAAGATGAAATTCCTTTAAGGTCACCCTTGGGAATAAAAGGGTTCAGGGATCCACATTGCCACCTTAAGAGCAAAACACAATCATCAGTAAACTTCTACTGATGCCCCTGCCCCCATACCTCTTCTACAAAGATATAGAGAGCTGAGTTTCCTTTTATGACTTTCTTGATTTGGTGTCCATCCCAAATGCGCCGTTCACCATGAAATTCTAATCTTGTCCGATTGTCAACTACCGAAGCACAGAAAAACCTGAGAGAAAAGGAATTAGTATTAACACCTAAAACTTTGATGAAGTATTTGAACTTACCAATGGACTGACCAGATGACTGGCTGACTGACTCACCAACTGACCAACCAACTACCTGACTGATGGTCTGAGGGATTGCTCAGATTGATTCATTTGTTGCATGATTAAATGTCATTGTTTATTTTCTTGCAACTTGCCTTAGGTTGCATCAGGCATACACTTAGATAATTAGGCAACTTTCATGCATATTGCTCCCAATGTAAGAAACTTGCTAATTACCAAACAAACTACATAAAAATGTTAATTACCTTTTGTCCCTCAAAATTGGAAAGTTGTCTATCAATGTGTGTTCTACATCAGTTTTTGTCATCTGTGAAGAAATCTGTACATTTGTTTTAAATTGTCCTCTACTTTGCTTCTTGAGCTGAGCCATTTCGATAGTGTTTGGCATAAACACAAAATCACTCCTAACTCGAACATCACTGGTTCTTAGAACCACAACACTCTTTCCTGTTGTTACTTTAGGATCTTTCCTTGGCCGTTTTGCAGAGTAAGGTGAAATCATAGCACTTTCCATATTACTGTCAACAGAAGTTGGCTCCATTGTGAGTGGAAATACAATCTGTTCAGATATATAAGAAAAGAGGAATCATCCTCTACCATCTTTGATCAATCAATTTTTATTTTTTTGCCTCAGTTTTTCATCTTCTTATGTGTCTATTATATGGTTTCAATCAACTTTGCCATATGGTCGAACATGTATTAAACAGTCATCCACAGGGGATGGCAGGGTGACCCCTTAATACCAATTTCACAGAATAGGGGCGTTGTTAATAAGACAAAAATGCTGTTCTATGTCATAATTGACTGTTTGATGTCCAAAAGTTCCTTGAAAGCTGTATTAACATTGTATCCGGAGAGAAACATGAATAAACTTAACTTGAAATAGTTTTAGTTTTTTTTGAGTAGTTCTGCTTGAAGTGACCATTCTATACAGGCAAAGGACGATACAAACAGGCCATTTGGACTCAAGTAAGGGTGACCAAAAAACTGCTTAATAAAGGTGACCGCTACATAAACATGAAAACCAGCCGCTCGATACAGGGCCACCAATTAGTGCAGTGCCGCTTAATACTGGATCAACTGTAGTCTTCACACAGGGAAACAAAGTAAGCAGTGACAGATCACAACATAGCTGAACACTTCCCAGTGTTTGGTATGCTTAACACAGCTCATTGAACAAGAGATAAACAAAATCAATGATTTACCCTTTACTTATAACATATTTCACAAAATCCTCTTCAGCCGATCACATAATAGCATTATACTTTAAAGTTCACTTGGTATATACCACATTATCTAAACATATTAATCCAATGGAGGATAACTTCCCACTGGTAGTCAAATTGAACGACGACATAAAGGAACGTAATGTATTGAATGTAATGAATTTGCATATTCTTGTTAGAGCACGCCGTGGACATGAGGTACGTGTTTTAGAACTGAGAAGTACAAGGGGATTTACGATAATACTTTGCCAAAGTCCAATCTCGTGACTGGCAAAGTGCCATACTCTAAAAATGCAATGACATAGCTCAAAAAGGGACCGAAATATGTTTTCAGATATATACATTTACACTTGGCCTCTAATCTCAGTTGATTTCAACAAAACAGTGCGAGTGAAGCGCGGAAACAGCACCCAGAATTCTCATTCCGTTTGATGACATTAAACAAGGAGTGAAAAAGCAACGTCAATACATCTGAAACACTAATCTGAAGAAGGGGCAAAGTTGGTATTTTCTATTAATTGAGGAAAAACTCTAATTTTACGCTCCATCCCTTCGATAGCGAATTTAACGGAGCTCCACTATCTAAACTTAATAGATTAGTTTGGATCGATCGTAATTCCAAAACAAAATTAAAACGAGATCCCTGAGTGAAAGAGATCTTTTCAGTTTGCATAGGTGTGTTTAATCCGAAGACTAAATCTTTATGGCAATACAGGGAAAAATTAAGAAGTGAAAGAGAAACCAGCTTGTCTAAGGTGGTTCGAGCCGCAAATGAAACAAAATTCAGCATTAACCCAATCATTCAATCCTCCATTAAACGATGGATGTTTGTAAAGACAACTGTTTCAGAGCGATACTGTCGTCTTATAAATTAACAAGACAGGAAGGTACTTGAATGCATCGAAGTTTTCAAACCGATGCTGCGCGAGCATCTATACGTCAACATATAAATTTGCTTACAGCAGCAGATACATTGTTTATCGTCACTACGTTTAGCGTACAATAGAGAAAAGAGAAACTTCTACAATAACAAATCCTAAAATTATTCAATTTCAAGGCCATGTTATTAGCTTAAAATAAAAGACAAAATGATATTCTCACCGTTTTGATGTAACGACGATCATCAAGGTGTGCTAGATTGTCATGTGACCGTATGATGATGTATTTCAATGGCTAAGGAGTACTGGGTACAAGTTTCCAATGACATTAAGCCACGTCAGGAGCCCACTACTATGGGCTCCTGGCCACGTCTAAATGTTTCATGCGCTTTTTTTTTCCTACAGTTTTTTTTGTTTGTTTCAAATTATCAGCTTTTTTTTTCCTTTTATGTCTACTTCAAATTATCAGCTTTTTTTTCCTTCTATGTTTTTTTAAAATTATCAGCTTTTTTCTTTATTTTTTCCTTTTATTAAAAACGATAACAAAAAACAAAAAAACTTGTCAAAATAAAGATTTTCACCTCAACTATTGAAAAGAGAGAAAAGAAAAAAAAATCCTCCTTATTGTTTTCGTTGCTGCCTCTTACAGCAACCAAAACGAACAAACTTGACAACCCTAGAGAGCAGTCTTCTGGAACGGCTTTCCTGCAAGAGAAAAAAAATCTTAAATTGGTTGACGATCGGAAGTAGGCTAGATTTCCGCTGTTCTTCCGAGTACATTCTTAGATCTTCCCTCATGGGCTCCTGATTCTCCGTAGAAGGAGCTCGGGTTCTTTTCCCTTCAATCGAAGCAGTGAAGATAATCAGGTTCGAGGATATCCATGCATAGGCCTTCATGTTGAAAGAGGGAGGGGGGCTAACATGATTATTTATGAGGGTGCGCCTTTCAGTCCTCCAAATAAAGACCCTATTTCAGACCAATATCATTTTCCACAACTGCTCTAAGGCCCAGGGAAGCTGAAAATATAATATATAGATTTAGCCAAGCCTAAAAGTGGAGCTCGCATTTTTTGCCCCGCACGTCTCAAGAGCACAACGCCTTGCCCCGGCCAGGACTAGAACCCGGGTCATCCGACTCGGAGCCCAGTGCACTGACCACTGGACTACTGGAAAAAGCTGTGGCATTGGCGAGCCCGCGGTACAGTTGACCACGCATGTTAAAAGTAGCACCTTGTACGGTCGGTCATACGGTCGCACGGTCATAAGTCCAAATTTTTTCGGCTTGATGGGTTACTACCACCATTTTGTATAATTATAGGGCTATGCTCTGCGAGCTCCGCTATAATAACAACAACAACAACAATAATAATAATAATTATAATAACAATAATGATGATGATGATGATGATGATGATAATGATAATGATAATAATGTTTATTATTCCCGTTACTTTTTTTCTGTTACGTTCAGCGTCTTCCGTAACTCCACTAGCGTTTTCCTCTTCGTCTTTCTCATCATTAGTCGAAACGTCAAGTTGCGGCATGGAGAAGGAGGAAGACGAGGAGGAAGTTTCTGGTGCGGTAGTGATGGGGTTTACAAATTGTACTCTTAAGGTGGGTGGCGGCTGATATGACATCTCTTCGTGTCGTTCCGAAGAAGGAGGCTGGAGCTTGAGTGGTAAAGGGGGAATGGCTGACACTCCGGTGTTTTCCGTTTGGAGGTTAGTTTCCGCCTGACATTTAGAAGAGATGGCCTCAGGGGGGTTTACTGGTAACACACCTGGAGGCGATGGAAGGCACAAAGGCCGGATGATGTCCTGAATCTTTCGGGTAGCATAGGATGGTTGAAAAGGGATGAAGGTTCCTTCATCTGCCTTCCAGGAAGTGGCATCCAAGACGATGTTCCGCAGTGATGACGAGAAAAGAGGAAAGAGCTGAAGAGCCGAGATAAATGGGTTTTCCCCTCGAAGCTCTAAGTATGATCTCTCGATCGCTGGGACAGGGATCACCGACACACTGACGACAATTCCTCCCCTTGGTACAGCAGCCATTTGCATCACCGCATGCGTAGTAATGTTCAAACCACTCAGTGGGCTGTCCTCGGCGGAGGAAACCCTCTCAACCTTTTTGACCGAGACAATGTAAGGTCTTATAAGATTATTTGTCCTAAATGTCGTAGAAGTAATTCTGTTGCTCAGTGATCTTGTTAAGTGTTTTATATTTCAAAGGTTTTCATAATATTATATTATCTAGTCACAGTAAATGGTTTGAACCCGTGGGTAACATGTAATAGTGTAGTTTGATCTTCCGGGTGAGTGTAGTCCTGAGAAGGACTTTTGTCGGTAGTGGTGACTTACGTTTCGACAACCTGAGCGGAAGTCATCATAAGAGTCAAGAACATTCGACTGACAACACACTATTTTCTTGACTCTGATGATGACTTCCGCTTAGGTTGTCGAAACTTCAATCACCACTACCGACACCAGTCCTTCTCAGGACTACACTCATCCGGACGATCAAACTACACTATTACACATTAACTACAGTTGTCTATTGTCTAAACCTAATTTGTGATGAGCGTAAGTCGGTTTAGGATTACAAGAAGCTTTTTAATTCAACTTTTAAGTTTCTTCAGAAACTTTCCCTCTTTATTCATTGGGGTTGGGTTGACGGTAGACCTCCTAAGGGACCCAGATTCCTATTCTTTATTCGCCTAATACCTTGTATTGAACTGAACACTTAAATAAATAAACTGGGCCTTCATCACTAAAGGGCTATTTTGTTCATTCCCAAGCTTCCTGTTCATGCTCTTCAATCGCTTATACATCTCTCTCGCATTGGCTACTAAGCATTTAAAACTCACACTCGCAGCGGAACGTTCCTCGTTTAAATCTTCGCATTCTTTGTTCTTCTTGGCCAATTTCTCTGTAACTTCTTTTATCTCTGCGTCTTTTTTCTCCAGCTCTCGTTTTAATAGCTTGGCATACGTTTGCCATTTTGAAATCTTTTCCCTCAATCCAGCATTTACAGCTCTTTGCATGGCATTGTCTTGTTTTAGCCAGGAATTCTCCCCTAATATGCCGTCCAATTGTTGTTTTGTAAACTTGACCTCGTGAGGATTCTGCGAAGAATGCATTCTCTGAAACAAGAATATAACGAAAGTCATTTATCATCGAAAAAAAAATTGTTCGATAGACAGGCTGGAGCCCAAACTCCGTCAGTGAAGATATAATAAATGTATCAGTTCACAACATCTGACTGTAGACTCCAGAACGAAAATTCTGCGAACTAAAGGTAAGCTAGGGGCGTAGTGAGTCTATATGCCCATACGCCCGCGCCTACAATTTCTTCTCCACCCGCTTGACTTTTATAATACGACTCTTGCAAAAGTTGAAAGAAAAAATGGTACTCTCTTGGAAACAGGCCTAAAACAAGTCGAAAAGCTGGCTACACACCCTTGCAAACGAAAACTTGGAGTTAACAAACGGCTCAAATTCTAAACTCAACTCCAAATGTCTGTTCCTATCAACCTCAGTATATTATTAGAGAACTTAAGCAGCCATGATTTTGAGACTCCAACGGAAACCGAAAGAAGAATAGAATTAATTCTGGCGCACTTTGACAACAACGTATCGGCAATGAGGTCGTCGTTTTTGCATTTTAAGCCAAACTTTGTTGACGAAAAAAGTGTAGTGAGCATCAGGAATGAGAACTTTTAACTTCCGACTGCCGTGCGCATCCCAAAAACGAATGTGCTTAAGCTCCCTAATGTCAAGTTCAAGGTCTGGAAACATGATTAGCCTTCTCAAAAGATCTGAAAATTTAGAGAATGTTTCAGTTTTGAAATACATATATTCTTACACGCAAACCGCCCAAATTTCCCGCGAGTTTCCTTACCTTGCAGGTAAACATCGATTTCTAACTGACGAACTGATTTGCAAAATTATATTTAACAACCGATCTTCGTCTAGCAAAGTCAAATGACTTAACAATTCCGCTGTGATGTCATTTACTCGAAAATGCACGCGCACACGTCCTTTCCTTGTGTTCAAACGCGAACCAGGAGAACTGGATCGAGCGCATGAAGTCGAGGCTTACTGGTCAGCGTGCCGGGAAAATTCGAAGCTCAAAACAACAACAAAGACAACACACGAAAACGGACAAAAAAGACCGCGAAAAACTGAAAAAAATTCTTTTTTCGTCTTAGCTTGAGTTCTTCTGCAGGGTACTTAGAATTTTTCTCTATGTCGCATATGCTCGTGAGTCGTGACAAGACGGGAAAAGACACTTTTCTTTATTCCATTTCCGAGCTTAAAATTCATCATTAAGCTTTTTATGCTCTTATCAACGAAAAGAGCGTTTTGCAGATCGCTAATTTCGCAAGTGTAGCAAAGACGAGACTTTGCAATTTCGCATCTTTATTCTGTTTTCGGCGGTATGATAGACAAGGTCGGATAGTTAAACGAAGTCCTTCCTAGGCCGCGGTTTTAGATCATGCATCGGTACGGCTCGCGTTCTCGTTGTAAGTAGATTGTTTGAAGAAAAAAAGTTTTTTCGTCGTTAGCGGCAATGAACCTTCTCCCCTCTCTACACCCCGAAAAATATTTTAGATAAAGCTCTTAGCAAAATTTAAAATGGTTTGTAACGCGAATAAGCCAACCAGCAGCGAAACCATCGTTCCGAAACGTACTCGCGAAAAGTTTGAACGCTTCTACAGTTTTCGATTCCAATTCTCGCTCACAACAAGCGTTTCGGATGTTTCCTTACCTTTTTTGACTCACTTCCGTGAAAAGCCTTGAAATACACTGATTTGTTGAGTAACTGCTCGATATCCCTCTCAAACTAATTTACAAAAAGCTCGATCTGCAAAAACAACTGTTTTCGCGTCGGGCAGAGTTTACTCTATTTGACGTCAAATTTCGCTTGTGATGTCATTTATTGAGAATGCGCGCGTAAATTAATCGTCAATCCTGGGAACGAGGTTGCCTCGACCTCAGGAGAGGTGACTTTCTGAACGATCAAACAATTAATCGAGGATATACTTTCCACCTTTTTCTACAAAGGTAATTTTACACTGTTCTTATTTTCAATAAAACTAAACCAGACCTGATTTCTTCTAAATGCAAAACAGGAAAAATTCCAAAATCGGAGAGAACGATTGCTCTAAAAGGAAAGCCGCATTTGCACACCATACAACACCTGTAATCTGTGCCAATCAAAAAATAATCAACAAATATTCTCGCAAAATACAAGTTTTATTAATAGACGCACAACCTTTCAACCTTTCTACTCATTGCCCATGCTCCCATGTTTATCGCAGATGAAAGGGAGCATTGGAACTTAATTTCTCTATAAAAATATACATGTAATGTATTCCTACAATTTTTGATTGTAAAAACATCTAGATAACGAACTATTTTAACAAGAACTTGGTTTTTATTAGGATTGAAGAACGCCAAGCTATTTATAGCTATCTGCAATCTTCCATAGGTCTGTCTGATCGCTCTCTCTACCTCTGAGGAAGAAAGAAAAAAAAAGCCATTTAATACTGAACAAAAGAGTCTAAGATGTCAGCCTTCTTATCGTCTCAGTCGGATTTTACTACATTATCCCATAATCTTATGTCATCTATATCAAGCAGGTGTTTCAACAGATACCGCGCCGGTTACAGACAGTTTTGGGCATGTACGCTTGGGCATGTACGCGACTGAGTTACAATCTACTAGAACTAATTTCCATGGGAGCTTGACCCCAGATCCCTTCGGAGAAAGGTGATTTGTGGCCTCCAGTCCGGGCGCAGTCATCAATCATACTGTCGGTTTGAAGCCGCTTATGGAAAACATTATTGAAATTTCTGCATCAGTTCACTCTTACTTACCGAGGGCACAACATACAAAACTGAGTTAAATCTTATTCTTTGTCGCAGCGTCCTTGCCGTCCATTTTGTTCCTTTGAAAAATTCCAAGTTTCCTGACGAGTCGGCGGCTGCCAGACGAATTCTGAAAAGAATTGAAGAAGAAAGGAAGAAGAAATGAATTATATCTAGGTCAAGAGTAATTTAATTTTCTACTCAGAGCGCTGAAATATTAAAGCTGACCAGACAAAAAATAGCTTTTTTCTAAGAGAGTGAACAATTCCACTTTAAAACTATAGACCTTAAAAGTGAGTTTAAAAAAAAAGAAAAGAAATGCGCACAGAAGTTTTCCTAATAGAGTATCCAAAGAAGTGCAAAAGCTTTTTTTTCTAGATCCTGATCATTATGCCCTGAAATTGGCTAAAAAAAGACCCCCCATCAACTGTTGGCCTGATCACAACGACGCTTTCCCGCCATTGATGCTGTTATGCAATTCTGGCTTACTTTCTACACTCTCAATCGTAAATTGTCCCAAAATACGGTGAAAAAATTATCTACGCCGTTAATTCATACCTTTTCTTCCCTAGATTGTGCAAAACCGTTCGCACTTCCTTCATAACTTCATCCGGTGGCATATCATTTTCCAACTGGATGGAACCCCTGTGAACAGCGGCACTCTGGGACGGTAAACGCGTGGAACTGGTTGGAAGTAGAACCAGTTTTCTCGTGAATTTTTTAGCGTTGTTGCTTTGATATGAAGAGTGCATCTTTTTCTTTAAAGACGCCGACATCAATGTGCCTTGTAGCGAGGTCAGTGATGAATCGTTTGAGAAGCCATTCTCTACTGATTCTGAGCTCAAATCTCCAAGCGCAATGTTCGACAGCAACAGCAGCGAATTTGTCTTGGTGCTTGACATACCTGTATCTAAAATAATAATAATAATAATGTATGTTGTTTCTTTTTCAAAATAATTCAAATTTCTAGTGCTCATCCTAGTGCTAATCAAAATTATTTACACAAATTTGGATAGTTTAAAAATAAAACCGAGTTTTTCCGCTCGGATTTCAGGCCCGTCGCTAAGCGCTCGAGCCTTAAATCCGAGCGGTTAGTAAGATATATATTTAATCTCTGGGTTCAAATAGAGGGGAGAGATTACAAACTTTTGTACTTTGTGTCAGTGAAATACGGCTCATTTGTTTGACCAATAAGAGCACAGGTACTAACTGAGAGATATCATAAAGGCAATAATTGACATGGCATTGAAAATATTCCCATACAAGAGAGTCCTGTTTATCAAACAAATTGGAGCAAAATGTCTGTCACTTTTAAAACCACTCATTTTTTTACATTTTTCTGCTATAACACCTCTTCTTTGTCTTCCATCTCCAAACGCTATGATATCTAATTGTTAAAAAATTCACTTCACAGAAAAGTGCCAATTTGCCTCACCCATCGCTCCTGGTAGAAAGCTGTTTCCACTCATTGGTTTCTTGGACGTCAGCTTTGTTTTACCTCGATTTTTAGGAACAGTTTTCAGTACCTTTGCATTTTTCTTTTTCTTCAGTTCTGAGGAAATCAATTACCCCATCAAAAAAAGAAATGTAAAGGGTATGGATTCATAAATATGTTTTACAAGAAGGGAAACACAATTGCACTGACAGCCTGAACTGTATCAGGTCATTATTCTAACCCTTTACATTCTAACATCAGTATGCATATTCTCCATACTGTTCTCTAGACATTTCCTATGGTGCTGACAAGGAGAATTTGTTTAACAATCAAGAAATTTTTGACCTTGCAATCATTTCCTTTATTTTCATGACCTTAATATTTGATGCAAGGGTAATCCTGTTAGGATAAATTGGATGACTAGTATCATTCTCAGGGGTTGAAGGGTTGATGGGTTGATGATAAGGAAAGAGCTGTTAATATCACTTGCCCTGTAAATTTGTGGATCTCACCTGGTTTTACAACAGGTTTTGGGTGTTTTTTCTCCACAACCTGGCTAACTTGGGGAGCCACCTTTACATTTCTCCTTTCTTCTTCTTCAATTACCCTACAAAAAATAATAAATAGACTAAATTAAGTGACTTTATTACTAAGTTAAACTTGAAAAAAAAATGGAAATGTGAAACTCTCTGAGACATGATATCCAACATTCTGGAATATGTTTGAGTAAAAATTTTAGGCAAGAAATTGTTTTGGAATCAGTTAAAAATACTTATTTTCTGTGTTTAATCATAATTCACAAATTAACTGGCAAAAAATGGTCTTACAGCTGCCTGCTAATTATTATGGGCAACGGCCTTCAAATAAAGACCCTGCAAATTGGCAACCAAACATTTTCATGCATGTCTATTTGCAGACTGAGTTTTTACAAGTAAGCCAAGATGTTCAGTATATAATAAATTTTTTACATCAGCAAAACACTGATCATTACCTTTTTGATATGTTTTCAAGGTAAGAAAACAGTTGTTGCTGTAAATTTGATTGGTTTCCTGTTTCTTCAAGCTCATCCTTTTTACTGAATGAATTCATTACTGCTTTACCAGCCTTAGTTCTAAAAAGATCCTCAACAAATCCACCAGCCTCATGCTTGGCTGCTACGTACAGCATCATTTTCAAAATGCTGTTAAGTGCCAGACTAGATTCAGAAGTATGCAGAGATGTTACATCTGGGAAAAAAACAGAGTCGATTGTTTGCATTTTGGATTTTTTTCTACACCATCTTCAAGTTGTCTCTTCTAGAGATAAATTCAGAACACACACATGAAAAAAACAAAACAAAACAAAATTAAACGAAACCAAAACAAAAGAGAACAAAGCAAAAGATTTAACCCTTTAACTCCCAAGATCTCTTCAGTAATTCTCCTCACTGTCTGCCATACAATCTCTATGATGTTAGTTCTGAGAATTTGGAATTAGGATGACAATCAATAACCTACTAATTTATATTTTTCTTTATTCTCATCACCTGTCTGCTTGATTTTGTATTGATATTGTAGGGAGAAATATCACCTCGATCACCTATGGGATAAAGTAGATCTTTACCTCGATTTGCCTCACTTTCATTGGCCATAGCTTGATCTTCCTTTGCTCCAAAATCAGAAAGTCCCATAATTAACTTTCCTCCATAGTTTTTACTGCAGACAATCTTCTGAAAACCTGTTGAGATCTCCTCCTTGTACAAAAATTTTGTGCTCCCCAGAACCTTGCCATCAGTTGTTTCCAGTTGAGCAACAACTATACCTGGTTTATCACTTTCTAAAAAGAAAAATTTATAACAACAAAAAATATTACAGTCTAGTATTCTCTTATAGCTCTAAAACACCTTTACATTAAGGAGTTGATTCAGGAACAATGGCTGCTTGGCAATTATCTGCAAATTGAAACCTTGAGGGTTAACTCACAGTAACTACATCTGTTTGGTAAAAATAATCTACTCTGAAAAAATTAGTTGAAAGAGTTTGATATCATCTCTACCAACAGAGTTAAAACCGTTCTACCACATCTCAATAGCATCAGACCCAACAAAACAGTTAAGGAAAGCCTAATTATTCATACTATAGCTTGCACTTTAGTAACAGCAATTTGTCTGCTTTACATGAACAAATCAAAAGTTTTGGAAGGCCCATTTTTGAACTCTAGCTGGATCATTCAACTGTGATTAAAGGTAAGACAATTTTAATTACTTGTAATTGTCAGTGTCTTAAACCGAGGAATATGTGGAATGTTGGAACCAGTGATTTGCCAAGAGAACCTGATAATTGCACAAAGGGTAACTGGCAATATACTAGCATACCCTTGAGGAAGGGGGGAGAAACCCAACAAGTCTTTAGAGGAGATTTCATGCTCTAACAACAGGGATAAGCCAGCTAAGTGATGCAGACTAAATAAGTTTCTTTTAAACAATATTTGCTTCAACATCTTTGGTTTTTACTTACTTGGTGTTGAATCTCCCCTGATAACCTGCTCTTTCCATAGGGTCACTGGAACAACATATTCAGTTCCAAAGCGGACACACAACAGGGAACTTGAAATATCGCATATATCTGGAGATAATGGCTTATTCAGGAGCAGAACAAACCTATCACCACCCTGAGAACATTAAAATTGGGTGAGAAAAATCCCACTTTAAATTCCTGAGTAAATAGAAATGAAGTGTAACAAACGAAGATATACCCCACATTAGCACCAGCTTAGAAACACACCCCAACATCAATATGCAAATTCTCTATACTGTTCTCAATACATTTCCTTAGGTGCAGACAAGGAGATTTTTTATGACAATCTCAAGCTTCTTGAGTTGGTGATCATTTCCTTTATTCTCATGACCCTAACATTTAATTCAGCTGTGATGCTGTAAGGAGAAATTAGATCATAGTCACACCTTTGAGTCACAGGGCTAATCCACAATTAATTAAGAATTGCTATTGAAATATTGTGATAAAACGTATCTGTGCACAACAGCAAAGAATCTCTTTTGCATTATTTTTTTAAATCCTAAACCTGTCTGTATTTTGATTCAGGTATTACCTTTTTTGTATGATTTTGAGTATAAAAGTCATTATTTTTTATTATTTGTCTTTGATTATAATTGTAAAGTAGATTGAGATTTGACCAGATATAAACTTGAATGACAACATGTTGAGGAACTAATCAACTGTTCTGATACCTGGCATGGTGAAGATCCTGGAATTATTTCCTTCACCAACTCATCAGACCCTGGAAGAAAAGATTTGAAAAAATTTACATAGTAAACATAGAATTCATCACAAGAAATTCAGAGTCATACGAGAGATCTCAGTACATCGCGTTCATATTCTCGCACTATGCTCTTTGCATTTCCTATCTTACTGACAATCAGGAGCTTCTTAAATTGGTGTCATTTCCTGTATTCTCTTCACCTCAACATTTGATTCAAGTGTGATACTGAGTAAGGCGAAATTTGACGCTATTCACTCCCGAAGTAGAGGTGTCATTAAGGTCACAAGTGTAATCCCTAGGGGAAAGACCCCTTCCCCGGAAGTAATGTGCCTTACATAATGAGACAAAAATCACCGAAAAAACGACAATAAAAACGAGAGGATTTATTTTACAATACAGCAAATATTTTCACAACACACAACACCGCCATATACCTGTTTTGTTGCTGGCTTCACTGGCTGAACCAAAGTCTTCTTCAGATTGAATGCTCTTTAAATAATCGTCAAGGAGCGAGTTGAAATCTATCACCTACGAGACACAAAAAAGTATTATTTTACGACACATTTTGGGTAAAGATTCCATTTTTTTTAAATCTGTGCGCAAAAACAGCATATTTTCATTTTAGAATCTAGCAACTAATCCTGCAGAAAAGAAGAAGAAACCTTACGTAAACAAAACGTTAAAAATTAACTTTGTGAGTGATATGTCATACGTCACGAGTTATGAATGTAAAGAAACACACAAAGTGGGTTGAATGAAACGATACAATTATGCATCCAAAGAAGAAAAAAAAGCAGGGTAAAGAGACGTGCTATACATGGATGAAAACAATCATGAACTTGGAGAGGAAACTGAGTTCTATTCCGCAATTCGAGTGAAGAAAAACTCTACAAATGAATATGAAAGGGTACCTCAAGGATCTTCCTTCCTTTCCAAGGCGCATTACCCGAAGAATCCTCTTGTTTTCGCTTACGAGAAAAAGTTAGCTCGTTTGATGCTTTTGGTGTCCTGTCTTCATAATCAAAGATGGTAGGAATGGCATCGTGCTTCAAAGTGGCCTTTTTTGGTCTTGGAAGACCCAGAGAATCGAAAAGTTTGAAGTTATGTACGAAACAGTGTGATTCGAAATGCGCAGAACACAACCTCGAGTACTTGTTCGGTTCCCAGTTGACGCGACGAACTTTCTCTATCCATATCTGACGGTATTTTTCATCAGAGGGAAACTGGAAAAAGCTCAACGACTTCATCTTTTTGCCATCGTTGTTGCAGTTGAAAGCAGTGCAGTATACCATGGTTGATTGAGAGCTAAAAATTGAAAATCTTCCCGGCGCAAAATTGACGCAGAGCAAACTAAACCACGAGATGGCACCTGTGACGTCATGGTTCCCCTGTGCATCCAGTAAAAAGTAAAAGCTTTGTTCATTGGACAGGAATAACCAATCAAATCACGCGATGCATTTGAGTGGGGCTTTTGCGCGGTTTATTTGAGAAGAAAGCGAGCACTGTTGTCTTCATTGGCCAAGGGTCATAACATAACAACATGAATTATTTCCAGTGATCGAGAGCGAATACGAGGTCTCTTTGGTGGAGGTATTGCAGTGAATGTTATTAATATATTCAGGATTTAAACAAGTTGCTTGATTCCCCCTTTTCACCGTTAAATCTTGGAGTCAATCAGTAATGCGTATGTTGTTCGTTTTGTATAGGTGTTGATTGTAAACGTTGTGGATTTCGGCCTATGACCGTGATCCACTGTTCATTAGATCGGGTCTGAAAATCATTGCCTTCCGTAAACCTGGAAGAGAAAAACAGTTCAGTTTACTCCCGCGATCGCAAGCCGTATGTTTGCATGCAGCTCATGATCGCGGAGGAAAAAATGGCTACCATTTGTAAAGTGCATAAGCTTTTGTCTCAACTTCAATTATCCTGATATGCTGCGATCCCTATTTCATGAGAATTCTGAATTGATCTTTAAAATATACATTGAATCGTAGGTAAAATTGATGCAAATATCATGGCTTCCTTGAGATCTCCTACGTCTATAATTTAAGTGCGATTATGTCTGTTGCAGATATTGCAAGGAAACTTCTGTAAATGAAATATACAAAAGATCTTCCAAAAACTCGTCAAACTTATAATATGTAGTTCAAAAAAGTAATAAGTTAAGATTCCACACGGTTAGGATGGATATATTGTTAATATTTTCGCCTCTTTAGGGAGAGTTGTAATAATAATTCATTTCGGCTAATTTTTTTAGGCATGAATTGTATGCACAGGCAAACAGTGGACCAGCTGTCATCATTTTTTCCTTCTAAGAGAGATAAATACGATAAAGAAAAGGATCATTTAAGGTACAGAATGGACAAATGATAGGGATGTGATATGATGTTGTACTATTCATTCCTCTTTTTTGTACATTTTGAAAGGACAGTTATTTTTCAGGAGTAATCAAAAAGTGAAATTGCTAACTGAGATTTCTTATATCACTTTTAAGAATGCAGAGAAATGGTGTTATGCTTCAGCCCCTGAATTTCCCGGCAACTCAGTCGATACTGTGGTAAGCACATATGTGTATGGATTAGAACACTTTCTAATCACTTGTTGCACAACCAAAATCAAATAGATCACTATGGCCTTCCTATCAGAGTGAGAGAAAGTATCAACAGAAGCTGATAAAAACTTAAAGTAAACATGAGCAAGCTACAGTATATTTGAAGCTTGGAAAATTATTTGTGACCAAGTTGTGATCAGTTTTAGTTTTGTATCTGATTGGTGAAAAGGGAATAGCAAGTTTCCTAGACAAATGAGTTAATCACAGAGCAAAGAAAAACAAAACAAATACAAAATACTACATACCTTTTGACACTTGGTTGACAGTCGATCTATGAGAGATAACTGTTGCTGTCTGGTAGTGCTTCTTGGTCAAATTCCTTGCCTTCCACCAAGTTGTAGAATATATAACCCTAGCTAAATTGCATTCATAAAGGGTTTTCTTTTTCACCTATAGGAACAGAACTGCTCAAGGAGACACTGAAATTCTCCATCTCACAACTAAAAGGTAACAAATTTGGGTATTAAGAACCTGGTAACCCTTGACCTCTGGGGATTCATAGCAAAGTGAAAAATCCCATCCAATCCTGAATTTTTTTTAAGCTTCTTTTCCTGTAATTTCTTCAACTGTAATAAACTTATCAGGATAACTTTGCTATTTTTCAGTACCCACCCGTCAAAATGATAGTAATTAATTTCCTATTTATTAAAGAGGGTAAAGTGTCTCCTCTAGGAAGACAAAAAGTTCCTCAGGAACCCAACCCTGACAGTTCAGATTCTTGTAAACAATACATTTGTGCTTCACCTATAGTTTCAATGTGTTACCACATTTTAAAATATTTTTGGGACACATGTTGATCTCATTTTTAGGAATGTGAGGCTGTACATCAATGAGAAGACTCTGCATTTGGCTCGCAGACATGCTAATCAGACAAAATCTTCCAATGAATGTTTCCTTGTTGGAAGCATCTCTGTTGACTCAAGTAAGTAAAGAGTAAAAATCACACAATGTCTTTGTTTTAATTATGTCCTGAGGATCACTCTACAGAACACTGTCAGTATCTGAGCAACTGAGTACCTACCCCTCCCCTGACCCATCTTCAGCCCTAACTCATCATCAGTTGACTTTTATTGCATTAGGGGAGGGGAAGGTGTGTAGTTGCTTGGATACTGACACTGATCCCACTCTACAACTCAACCCCTAACAAAAAAAGCATTAAACAAAAATGAAAAGAAAAAAAAGTGAAGTGGAGCTAGTGAAGATGTAGGGTACTTCTAATAATTTAATCTATTACAACTCCTTGAAACATTTCAGAAGAGGACAGTATTGATGTAACAGTGGACAGATTTGATCCAGGCAGAGAAGTTGTGGTCAAACAGGGTATGGTTGTCACTTGATCTTTCTTTATTATTATTAGTATTTTTACGTCAAGTTGCTTTGACCTTGAATGTAAAACATTACATGTACCTGTTGATTTTAGTCACAACAAACTCAATGCAAGCCACCAATTTCATTTTTATTTTATTGATGGTTTCAGGTACTGGAAAAGTCAAAAGGAAAGTTCCCACTACTGTTGTTCCTGGAGACCACATTGTGCCTATAACTGTGAGTTGTTGTTCGAAAATTACCTACTGCTTTTCCCCACAACATTGTTTCTTTTCAGTAAAGAAATTTGCCCCCTATCTTCTTACTGATCTACATCGACAGTGTTGAAAGTAAACTGTTAAATATAGCTGATAGCACAAAATAAGTTGTTCCTAACAAGGTTGATAGCACTCTAACAAATTTTGTGTGATAATCAGAAGGTTAGCAGTTAAAGATACATGTATGTAAGTATGACATTCTATTTTTCTGCTTTGTTTATTTTTAAGTTAATCCAAGGTCTGAGTGGTGCTGAGAACTCTGTAACACACACAGTTGGAGAATTTCAGAGAGTATTTCAGGTACACAATCCATGAACACAGTCTAGATAATTAACAATTATTCATGCTAGTACATGTATAATTGCTTACTAGTTAGTGGTTTTGAATTTAAATATTTGTTAATAATGTTGAAACCATTCTCTTTGAATTGTTTTGATAACTGGTATCAAGATAAGGTGCCAGTTCTCAGCATAATTTAATAAAGAATGTAACTCCTTGGAATTGAATTTACTTTATCAGGTTCATCACTTCCTAGGTATCGCTGACAAAAAATTGAGGTAGCTGTTTTTAAATTTAGCACTTCTTGCTATAATCATCTAGCATGAGGTGATTATAACAAGATATGACTAAATCCTCAACCAATCAGAGTGTGTGCATCTTTGTAATCACCTGAGCAATTATACTAAAAGTATATAATTACATATTACTATCACATTAAAAACTGCAATACAATTATTACCTTCAATAAATAACCTAATAAATTATGACATATTTCAAAGTTTGGCCTAAATTGGATTGGTTATGATCATGCAGGGGTTATAACCACTTTTGATTAAAGTAAACAGCAAAAACTGCAAGTGGGTGGCTTTGAAGTCTAGTGTTATAAATTTCTGAGAGAGCAGGTGTCAGTTTTGTTTGAGTTATCAGGCAAATTTTGCCAGTTGCTTATTGACAAAACCAACTGATGGTAAAAATTTTTATTATCAATTAGGTCCAGTTTAGTAGGATCAGCAGCCAAGAAACTGTGAATCTGTCGCACCTTGTGAGCTTGAAGGTCTGCTGTCACTCACATGGAGATACTGATGAGATCATATTCAATGTTAACTGTAAGTGTAACAATGACACTAACAGCTTTGGGCAAAATTAAATCATTTCTAGTAATTTTTTTTTTAAATTTAATATGATTGTGTAGTTTTTGTTCTGCTTTCCAAGAGAGATTATATTTATTGTCTCTAACAGCTTTAAATTTCCTTGTTAACCCTTTAACTCCCAGATGTGATTAACATGAAACTTCTCCCTATAATATCCATAAATTATTCAGCAAACAGGTAATGAGAATATTCAAACTTGTCAGGTAGAAGCTGCTCTCTTGATCTAGCACCAAGTTCTCATAACTACTTTACAAGGAAATGTCTTGCAGCTAGAAAGGAGAATTAACAATCAGATCTTGGGAGTTGAAGGGTTAATCAGTTATAAAATTATGGTGTTCTATTAAGATATCACTCTTTGGCTGCAAATTGAATTTTTATTCCTGTTATATTTTCACTGATCAAGCTAGTGACATTGTGAGGAGAGGGTACAGGCCAGTCACTTTTAGGAGTTGAGTGGTTGAAGAATCCTTCAGAGATCAGAAAAAGAAATTAGAGATGGTCATGCATTTGAAAGCATGTACACAGACCTTTGGTGCTCTTCTGAATTTCTCCTCAGGAATTCTCTATTTGATATCTCATAGTGTCCAATACAAACCACGGAAAATTCGTTTTCTTGATCAAATTTTGTAAAGATTATGGCTGAGACTTCACACAGGTTTTGAGAATCCTACTGATCCTTTTAAGATTTTTCATCATGGAGTGTTGTCATGTGAGCACATTTGCTGTCAAAAAAACGGTTTCCAGCATTTGTTACATTTCTGTGCTAAAATAAGATAGCTGTGTATGTGCCCAGTGCTGCTTTCACCTCACAGTAAATTAACTTCCAGAATTTACTCTTCAACTTAAGGTGGTGTTATCACCATGGGAACAAGACTGTGTGCCACACCTGTAGCAGCTGTACCCATCATTCCAACAGCACTGGCCAGAAATTTGTCAGGTCCACTAAGACTTAGTGAGGTTCAAGGCATACCAAAATATGGGTGAGTAAACTATGTGGGTAAGTGAAGGAC